CTTTACGGAAATCCTTTATTTACCTCTAGATGATGGATAATATGTCACATCGAGCGTTATTGACGTCATCATATTTTCATACGAAAACAACATGTCCATTGAATTGTCCGTGTTCTTTTCCAGCACAATGTTTCAAAATTTTAATCCTTTTTCTATCAGGTTTGAGTATCTTTTATAATTCCGGCCCATATAAAGAAATAACTATTATAAATTAGTAAGTAGTGGCTGAAAAAAATACATTAATATGCTGAAAATTTCCAAACCAAAGTACAAGGATACTCTTTAAATGCTGTGAAAAATCTTAGTATTCGAAAATGTCGGATTTAGCTACACTTAAAAATTTCAAAAATCAGAATTTGACTATAATATGCACAATTTAATTAAACAAATTTGGTGAGCACGATTAGCGTATCACCCTTAATATTATATTTTATATATATATTTTATTTATAGGTGCTATTTGTGTTATATAGGTTATGGAAAAAAAAAAAAATAAATACATACATAGAAAAATAAGAAAACAAAGCCTGGAGTACTATAAAACTTGTGTGTATATGCGTGTTAGGAAATTTCCTTTTAAAAAAGAATTCGTAAATAGGGGAAAGGCTCACCGTCCCCATAATTCTAAGTGAAGCTCGAAATGGAAAATGTATTGAACCATAACAGTATAACACATCATTTTTTTTTAAATGTATTTATATATAAAATACTTATTTAATAAATATATAGTAAACTATCAATGTTGGATATTCTAAAATTATAGATATGTCACTTTTAGAAATTTTCCTCCGTCGATCGTTTCGTTCTATTTATCCATTCTATAAGGTCTTAAATTAAAATGATAAGGTATGTGATAATACTCCTAAAGATAGTGCTTATCAATAAGTCAATTATTATTTATTATTATATAGTTAATATTTGAAGTTTTTATATTTAATAGTTCAGTTCAATAAGTTTTAACGTTTATTTTGTTATTTACATGTTATTTAAATTAATTGTTACCTTCTTGAGTTGACCTTGATTTTCATTTTATATTTTTATTCGAATTTCTCTTTATTACTCAAAATCACAATCAATATTGTAGATATGTCCTACTAAATAACAAATTTGGATTCTACTGCTTATTAGGATAAAGCCTGTCATAGGGTAAAATGGGCGGTAAAAAGGAACCATCGTACGTATTAAATATTTATAAACCATATAAATGATTACTGATTTTCATTATAATTAAAAATAGTAAAAATCGAATGTACGAAAAAGAACGCAGAGATCGTTTGAATGTTAGTTTTGAAGAATTACGTGCGGTTCTACCACCATCAGATACTAACGCTACACTCGGTAAAGTAGATATTATTAACCATGCAGTTGATTTTATCAGCGTTTTGCAAAACGAAAAATTAAAAATGTCAATTATTCATAGTAAGTACAAATGGTTTTTTAAATTACTTTTATAAAATTGGTACTTATTTTAGTGTATATACTATACTTTTATTCTAGGAAAGGAAATAATTCGCTATCATAATAAAATAACCCATTTATGTACAAGAATCAAACATTTAGTGTCTATTTTAAAGGAATCAAAAATTGAAGTACCAAAAGATAGGCCTATTAAAAAAACGTGCATGAAAGTTGGTTTAAAAACTAAGCAAAAAAAAGAATCCAATGTTAGAAGTAGTTGTATAAAAAAGTTTAAAAAGAAACCAAAATTAGCTCCAAAATTAAGACCCAAACCCATTAATATACCAGTTTTAACATCAACTAAACCCACATTTATTTTTCCCTATGGACAATTGATTAAAGTTGACACTACTCCTATTATACCTCAGCCACAAATAATATTTGATGTACCGAAAATACTTTTATTACCAGATTATAAAAATTCTGACGTATTAATTGCTCCAAAAAAGGATGATGCAACTATTACTACATCTGTAAATAAGAGACCTATACCATCATTAGTTTCTTATAACAGATTATTAAAAGAAACAAATTTTTTAAAGGACAATAAAGTAGACATTACAAAAACCAAAAAAAATTGTACTTTAGAAAATAAAAATGAATCTAATGAAACAAAAATGGTTGAAAAAAACATAAATGAGAAGAAAATAGAAGAAAATGATAAGCATAATAATTGTTCAGAACCAATAAAGTCAAATGACAATAAAAGTACAACAAGTCACACAATTGAAGCTATTGTAAAAGATATCAACCAAGATAAAAATGAAAAATCTTTGGAAAGTGATGAAACTGCCACAAGTGGAATAATTTGTGGTAAATCTAAAATTGAATTAAAATCTGTTGAAACAGAAAATTTAAGTAGTAATGATAAAATATCAACCAATGTTCCAGAATCTTTAACTACAACTCAAATAACACCAACTGCTGTTAATTCGTTAAGTATATTAACAGAAGAAAATCAAAGAAAATCAATAGAAACTGAAAAAAATATTATGTCTTGTTTTGATGACATACGGTTACCAATACCAAATACAGATTTCCCTACAGATTTATTTAGTTCTCTTCAAGGACCAGTTGGAGGCCATCATGCTGATTCTATGTCTCCTACTGAAGCCTTTCTTCTTTCTTTTCCTCTTGTTTCAACTTCAAAAAACACTAATATTTTAAATGAAACTGAACAAACCGAAATGCATTCAGCCACACCGACAACTATATTACAAATTGGAAATTTGGAGTCCCCAGCTACAGAATTATTCCAGAAAAATGTTGATGATTGTGAAAAAGATCAAAATAAAAATAAAACAAAAGATCAATTCAGCTATAATGATAAACCCTACTATAGTGACGCATATATAGATATCAGTAAAAAAAATGATAATGTTTATGGTTACAAAGAAATAAAAAAATTAAAAGCAATACCCCCACCTCAACCAACTGCTTCAACATATCATAAAACAACATATAATGATATTTCTTCTTATTATAAAACAACCCAGTCAAATACTGACCTATGGAAGTATACTAGTTATAATTCATTTGATAAAAATCTTCATAAAAATGTTAAAAAAACTGATAAATCCACTTCTACAGCATTTGCTGTGAACAATGTCCCATATATACCATATGACTTGAACACAACTAATACATCTGCATGTATTGACAATGAAAACTATCATGAAGCTTGGCCTCACAAACCTAAGCAGAAAAAGAAGCAAAATGAAAAGAGTGTTCCAGTCAATTGGATGACAGATAAAAGTTGTCAAAATTCTTATCCTAAAAAAGATGACTATAGCTATCAAAAGAAAAACAATTTTGATATGTCTTTTGATCTACAGCCTGAGCCTAAACAAACATATCCATGGTCTCCATCAAAAACTATACCATTATTACCTCATTTGGATACCAATATGCCATCAACATTACCCACTTTAGTAGGAGATTTAGCATTGAATATTAATACCGGCTCAAATACCCCATTTGATCAAAGACTCTATGAATGCAACAAAAAAAGCGATAATATAATCCCTGTTACATGTAGTGAACAAAACATGTTCAACTATAAGTCACGCTCTGTTAATTCAAATTTCCTTTCAGTCAGTCAATTAGTGGAACAACCAAAGTCTAATGACAAACGAAAAGGAAGAAATTGTGCTAAGGATTATTGTTGTATATACCAAAATCAAAAAACAGATAAAGATTATTGTCAAAATCAAACCAAACAATATTATCCAGAGATTAATTCATTTGAACAAGATCAATCTTGGGTTCGGTCAAAATATTCACACGATTCTAGTAGATCAACTAATCACAGTGCTGAATCTTTAATTAGACATCAACAAAAAAATGGTTCCACTATTAAATCAGGTTCAAAAAATCAAAATTTAACTCATAAACAAATTAGTTGTTATAGAACAGGTCAAAAAACAAATTATAACAATAATGAACATTTTGGAAATTATTACAATCAACACAATAGTAATTATTTATATGATAATAGAAATGATTTAGACAAACAACCATCTACATATCAAATACCTACAAATTTCTATACCCCAACTACAACAAAGCATAATATTGCAAATTATATTCCTTTACCTACTACATTTAGTATGACAAGTTCCAGTTATAATAAACCAGTTCAACATTTTACCCAAAACACAACTAACTATTATAATACTGGGAGTAATGTGAATACATTAACCAACTTCAATTTGAGCACCATATTTCCAGAAATGATTGATAAGGTAAATGGGTTTGTATTAGTTATTTGGCAGTTATAAGTTATAATATTAATTATTAAAAAAATACATTTTTAGGAACCAAATATCACACCTTTAGGAACATCAACTAAAAACAATGAATTTGATGTTATGAATACCTATGGAACCAATATACATTCATCGTATTAAACATTAATTAATTAGGTAAGTTCTAATAACTTAATATGAATAATACAGCAAAATCTGCTATCAAGTTGTATAATCTACTAATCTAGTGTTTTTTAAAATTTTAAAATGTAATATTATATATGGTAGGTAATCATATATAGTGAAAACTCTTTATAATAAATCTTAAGGGACCAAGAGATTTCTATCATTATAGAGTTTTCACAATAGAGAAGGAGAACAACACTAATATATGGATAATAAAGCAAAGTAATATATATATGTAACTACATAGTATTCACTGTAGATGTAAAATATATTAATGTTTTCTCCTTTACCCTCATCCCAACTATTTATATCATAATCAATTATTTTATTATTAATATTATAGCTTTCATAATATTAAAGTTTCATGAGTAATAATAATTACCTATCCATTAGCAATTGCCTTAATTTTTTTTTTATAATACATATTAATCAAAAAAAATTCTTGTAAATTGTCACAATTTTAAAAATTATAATTAATATATTTTTATCTAATAATTTAAACCTTAATAAACAAATATTAATTATTATTAATTAACTTAATTTGATTTGTTAACCTATTCAAAATAAAACTTTAAACATGAATTAATATTTTAGTGTATTACTGTATCAATTTTATCTAATAATTATTAACTAACCTTATATCCTATTATTATTAAAGTAGTTTTGCAGACCAATTATTACAAATTGATATAATTGAGCTCAATACCATACTGTTCATACTACTTAAACTTTAAGTTAGAAAGGCATGATTTTAGATTGAATTTGCATCACATGTTGTAGGTCAAGACCAAGCAAATAAGTCAGAAATTAATTTATTTAATTTATTTAAACCAAATAAATGTATATTATACAAAATTGTTTTTTAATTCAACACTGGAGAATCTTGTGCGTAATTGTTGGACAATAAGAAGCAAAATACATCACTGTCTATCTATTTTAATTGGCATTTAGATCAACGTTAACTGTAAGAATTATGAAAGTATTTTAATAAAAAAGATTATAATATTATATTATATTTATTATTTTTCAGATGGAGAATGCTAGTACTACTAAAAACATAGTTTTGGAAAGTGCATTGGCTTAAAAATTAATATGTCTATTGCATAGTTATGTTGCTTTGAGTTATTTTTAAAAATTAAATAGTATATTATAGAATTAAATCAAGAAAAAATAAAGCAAACTATTTTAATAATAATAGACTTTATGCATTGAATAAGTGAGAAATATTCAATTAACATGTAAGAGTAAGATTTTATTTTTCTATTATAATTTAACCATAGTTTTAATTTATACAATATTCCTATGGAAATTAGAAAATAAATTGAATTTGTGTGTTAACTCTAATATATTTAAAAAAACAAATTTAACATTATTAAAACTTGGTTTTTGATACCTAAAATATTTTCAGATTTTAATTATTTTATAAAAATGTGTTAAAAATTTATTTAAAGTTATTGTAATGAAATTAATCTAAAAATATGTTCCATAATATTTTGAATTCAACAATTATTAAAATTAATCAATATTTTTCAGGAATTTAATAATCTATTAGTTTCACTCTGGACCGTGTTAAATTTTCCTGAATCAATAATAACCATCACTTATGAGTGTATTTATTGTAGCAATTAAAGACCAAAGCTATATTGTTTGCTTTTTACTTGAGCAGTGGTGTAAATGAATTTTTATCAAATATGTATCAAGATATTAATGTTGAAGTCTTAGTAAGATTGATTTATGAATGAAAAAAAGGAATTTTTAATATAATTTAAAAGAAAAAATATTCTTTGTTGTTGTTTTTTACTTGTATAAAACTCAAATATAATTTAAAATATCAGTATAATTATTCTTATTATGACATATGACCGTTAGTTTTTTTGAGAGCTCCTAGGTTGGATCTCTGCGATATTTTGAGACTTATTAAAATGTTTAAATTACTCCTCCCCTTCTTTGATTGAACTTCATATACACTAATTTAATATCTATAAAGCTATAAACAATAAATAATTTTAAAATATGTATTCGGAATATAACAACTTAGTTTAATATTTATCAATATGTTTATTATTGAGTTTAAAATGTGTAATTTCAATGTTAATATTTAATGCATATGAAGCATTTTATTTGTATTATTATTGTTAATTTTACTAAAATTATGTTATAATAGTGTGTCATATGATTAATAAATAACTGTTAAATATTTTACAAATTGTTAAAAATTAATGAGTATAATATTTTATTTTTCACTACGAATTATCATTTTAAGTCAAAAGTTAGTAGTAGATTTTACAACCAAAAAAAAATTAAAAGAATGAGAACATTAGTGTTGAGATGTGTGTATCTTAAATTTTTAAAAAGAAAATTCTTAATAAAATAAACACATTCTGGGATAATGAGTGCCTTGTGGAAACTTGTGACTAAAGTTGCTTATTTTATTATAGGGTCTTCATACTATAACATTATTTTATAAATAATGAGAATATAAATACAGTGAAACCCTCAATGGATAAAAAGGTCTTGGCTAAATATTTCCATGTATTTCAATCTGTCAACAACAGATACTTTTAATGGAACAGTCAGTGTTCATTATTGCTTGGTATAAGTTATCACACCATTTATTTTAATGTTAACTAAATAAAATGTATTTAATTTTCTTTGTATTTTGATTGTAAGTACATTCTACTCAGTTTATTTAAAAATTATATACTATTTGAATTTGCTCACAAATAATTTAATAAACTTGGATGTATTACGCTAATATAATATGATATTTTACCAACAAATTTTTTCTGTTATCTACCAAAAAAGGTTCGGGTAATAGTTAACATAAAATATTAGACAAGTTACAATTTGTTCAATAAATTTAAGTAAAACTATAAAAACCTATTATAAATTAAAACTAAATGTTGGTAGGTACTATATTAAAAGCACATTATTACTTAGCATGTGCTTATAAAAACATTAACTATTCAAATTAATATTCAAAAAGAGTTATTTTGTGAAAATATAAATGAAAAACGGGAAAAAAATGAATATCTAAACATAAAAATGCACTAGTTTTAATATTATTACACAGATTACTTCAATGATGAAAAAAAAAAAAAAAAAAATATATATATATATAATATAAATACTCAATAGATTTAAAGCAATCCTTCCATTTCTTGCATAAATTGCATATAGGCATCATCTTTTGTCTGTTGTCCGGCTTGTTGATTACTGGCAGCAATATTAGATTTATATTCTGCTGCTTTATGCTGTTCCCATGCATTATCACGTTTATTTGATTTACCATCATCTCTTTTTACTCTGATTGACGTTGGCAAGAATCGTGTAATATCGGCCGCAAGATTTCTGTAATAGATTAACATGATTCCTATCAGTAATTAATAATATTATTAAACAACTAAACATATACCTAATTTTTGGTTTTGCCTCAATTGTTGAACTAATTTGTTGGGATTCATCGCGATTAATAAGTTGAGGTTCAGCACTGACAATATTTGGTGTTGCAGTAGCAACAGCAGCAGCAGCAGCTGCAGCTGCTGCGGCGGCGGCGGCGGCAGCAGCAGCAGCATTATTCATATTGTTATGTATACCAGAGTTATATCTCATCATTCTTGGTGGCATACCAGGTGGTGGTCCAGGAGGTAATCGTACATGCATACGTGGTGGTAAACCAGGTGGTGGCCCAGGAGGCAACATTGGTGGTCGACCGGGTGGGGGGCCTGGAGGCATTCGACCAGCAGGTCCACGATATGGCATAGGAGGAGGAACACCAACTGGTAAATCTTCAAGTATAAAAGTAATTATATAAAAAAAAATTATACTTATGTTAATAAATAGGACTAGGATTAATATACATTGGTATGAATTTTTTACAATTTCTGATTACTGGTTTTCATCAGTAATGTTCAATAATCAAATCATAGTGAAATAAACAGTGATGATTTTTTTATTTTTAGCATATTATTATATAGTTTGAATAGGTTAGGGTTAGGTTTGCAAAAACGCAAAAAAGTGTATGTTTAATGGTAAATTTAGTAAACACAAAAGATTAACTGCAGAAAAGTTAAAAGAAAAATTTAAAAAATTTATTTGAAATTATAATATGCAATAATCCAGATGAAGATTTCCTTACATTTAACTTTGGGGGAAGTTAGAAAATGTAGGTTTGAAAATTATATAATATGATTTTACATAACAGTTTTAGTAAATATAAAATATATTAAGGTCTAAGAAGATCATTATTTTTGAAAATTAAAAATATTATGTAATTGTTTAATATAATATATTTGCAATAGTGTTTAAAATAAGTTTTTGTATAATGACTAGGTACTTTTACAAAATAAATTTTTCAAGGAGGGTTTAAGGTTGTAAACTTTCATACTCGTATAACAAAAAAATTTACAAAGTTTTTTAACTGTAGGATTATTTATTTATTTTTTTCTGTGAACAACTTTTATACCAGCAATTTTGTTTTAATTCACAATGATAGTACTTTTTCTGAAAGAAAACCTGACTGGGGAGGTGCTTTAGGGAGATCATTTTTAGATTTTCTCAAAATTTTTCCCAATAAATAGCATAAAAGTAGAAAAAATGAGAAAATAGTTACAATATTAAATAAATAGTATTAAAGAAAATACATAACGCATATGTAATTATTTTACCCTAATATGAAATATATATTGTTGACAAAGCAATACTATCAACCGAACTCCATTCAAAATCATTTTTTCGTTAGCAATGGTTAATCGTTGATTACAGATATTCATTAAATTACCTATAACAGTGGCTGCACACGTCCCCATTATCCTAGGAGAGCTTTTTAGCCTATTAGGAACCTATTATTAAATTTTACATTTAAAATTTTTTTTAATGAATACAGCATAAATGATAATGTAATTCATAATATTGAGATAATAATACAGACCATGCAATATTGTTGCATCAGTTATATTTTTCTAAAAGCAGGAAAACTGCAACGAATTAGAAATGACAATATTATATACCTATTTTCTAGTAATAAAATTTAAAATAAACTAGAATTGTATTTATCTTCCTCTATTAAAAGGGTTAAATTCTTAAATCTTCCTATTGTACACGCGTTTGATTTTAACTATTATATGTTGATTAATCATATTTTATGGAGTATCTAAACATATTTAATTATTTAGAGTACCTAGAAAATACTTTCAATTTAAATACTTTAGTAGAAAATAAAACTTTATAAAAATCTTTTTGTATTCTAAATGTTTAGATTAGGTGGTAATTCGGTTTTTGGTATATTTTAGTATATATTTTTAATAAACCAAATTAATATTTTATAATTTATTATTGGATATAAATCTAAACCCTAAAAATCCATGAATAATATTTCTAAATATATAATATACTTGGTGGTAATCCAGGAGGTAAATGTCCTGAAGGAGCTGGTAATGGCAATGGGATTTCATTGGAATCGTCATGTTTTCCCAAGGAACTTCTTTTTTGAACTTCATCAATCTGAAAATAAATTGAACGTTTGAGTTATTACAGGATGCACAGAATTGAGTTAGTTAGTGTTATTTGGTTATTAAGCTCACTTCTCTCATAAACATTTCTATATCATCAGTTGTTTTATTTTCTTTACCAGAATCTTCTGTTTCAGCGAAACGTAATATGCGCGATCGTTTTGGAGCTGAAGTGAAAGTAATACTTAAGTAATATATTTAAAAAAAGATTATTCATTTTATTATAAACTAACCCGTTTCACCATCACTAGAATCATCATCATAATCATCGTCATCTTTTTCTTCGTCTGTTAGTATAGGTGGTATACCTGGGGGTACGCCAGGTGGTCGTTTTTTAGTACCAGATATTGGTGACATTGGTGGACTACTAAAAATAACAAGTTATTTGTAATTTATTTGTTTATGAAAAGAAAGCTATAATAACAAACATATTATAAAAACAATTACTAACGTATATAATGGTTTTTTTAATATTCCTATTGGTAATTCATTTGAATTATAGCCGATATCAGAAGCTGGTAGTGGAATATTTGAGGTCATAACAGGTAATGGAATTTCATCAACTGATACTTGCTGAGCAGTTTTTACAGCATCGAAATATGAAATCAACTTAAAACGACGTTTTTCATATTCAGATTCAGCTCGTTTAATTTCATGATATTTATCAAGCTCATCTTTTACCTAAAAATTATTTACATTTTTGAACAGTTTAATTAATGTTAAATTATAATTCTTAATAAATAATTAATACAATCAATTCAATATACAGGTTAATTTAAATTTAAAATAATACAAAATACTTACATACATTTTCATGACCCGGTCAAATGTTTCTTTTAGTTTCCTTCTTTTTTCCCTCAAGACTTTTTCATTTAAAGGGGAAGGCTGTACAACATTGTATTCTAGATTCGAAATAATATAGTGAATACAGTGTTAAATCCAATATTAAACTAAAGTATGTTTTTATAATTTAAAAATATAGTAAGCAGCATGTGAGTCAAGTACTTATTTCATTCATCTTCAAAAATTTGGAGATAATTATAAAGGTATTTTATTTTATCCAAATTAATTAATTTGTTAATTTTAGTACCAAATAAAAATAATACAATAAAAAAATAATTTTTTTTTTTTTTACACTTGATTATGACATGTAATATATTTTTAAAGTTGTAAATAAAGCAGTTTTAACAGTTTCATTAAGTTGAACATCTGTATTGAACTGAAAGAATATCATTTCATATTGTTCGGACAAAAAACTATAATAGATTTTTAAACATACTATATTGAAAGGTAATTATTATTGAACAACATTTGTATTTATTTCACTACAAACTTTAAATAATTGTATCATGATAGTTCACATAAATTAATACATTTTTTTCAATGTATCTGTGATCCAATAGATAGCCTTAACTGTCAAGAGGACGACAGACCTGATTTTATTGTCTCTGTCTATCAAACAGACAATATATAAAATATATTATAATCTTTCAGTAATATGTCCAGATAGTATAAACTTGACTTTCATGCCAAAATAAACACGATAAGTTATACTAAATATCTTTGGAACAGTTTTTAAATTCTTTATTTGCTGTTTTTTTCAATACATTTAAAATTTAAAATAACATTTTTTCAAGTACAATATAATCAGTTTGACAAAAAAAATTATAAAATAAACAGTTCTATGAATATTTTTTCTAGGTACAACTTTTTAAGTTTTTTTTAGCACTACAGTCAAGTTAATGAAACCAACTTAGAAGTTCTTAAATATATTTTAATCTGTTAGATTAACTTAGGTTAGATGTCCCCTTAACTAGGGATACAATGTTTTGTGTAAACAAAATATTTAATGCCTGCCTATTTAAGTTAAGCGCTTAACAATAAAATGTAAAACATCTTTCTTCTGATCTAATGTTTACAAGGTTTTATAATATATATATATATAAACATTAACATGAAAGCAATTATAACTTTATTAATAATTAAATAAATACAATTAATCTAATATTTTAATATAAAGTTTCAATCAGAGAAAATAATTTTTACTGTATGAGATTTATATGTTAAATGTTTACATTCTAATTAATAACTACAAACACAATATATATTTTTTAATAGTTTTAATACTTTTTGTCTTAAATAATCTGTTCAAAATGAAGCAATAATTACTTTCAAAAACAATTTTTTTTTCCTTTTTTAGTGTTCAACCTAAGGTTTATTTTACATTTTTAAATGAAAAATAACAATGAAAAAATTAAATTGTACATACTTAAAATTAAATATTGAATACCAAATAAAATATTACACATTTACAATAATCTTCATACAGAGACATTTTTCATAGTCAATACTAAAATTACCTATTACCCAGAATTGAAAAGTACTTAACATTTATTATCAATGAATGATTTTATACACAAATTTAATGTACCAAGTACCTACATATTAAGCTATTAACTTAACAATTTAAATAACCAATTAATAATATTAATTATACTGAATGTCATGGATGGAACAACAGGAAACTAGCAAAGGAGGTACTACAGAGAGTTGTATGATATTTTGGAATTAGAATTAGTAACAAACTTTGTTAAGGGCCAAAGAATACAATGGTTAGGCCACAGAAAGAGAATTGGAGAGAACGAAGTGTTTTCTCAAATTCTCTGACTGCTTCAGTCAGAGTAGAATTGGAGTGAAAGTCACAAAGAAAAAGACCTAAGAATAGATGGATTAACATGGTATAAGGAGATAGGTATATAATTTTTACTTTACCCATTTGATCAATTTTTTCCATTTCAGCAAGTATTTGTAGTGGATCTTTTCCTTTAAGAACAGCAGTTCTCACAATCATACGCTGTTTTTTATTTTTCTTCAATTCTTTTTTTCTGGCTTCTTTTCCTATTATTTTGTTTAAAATACATTATAATTTTCATAATATAGGTAATTAATTAGTTCTTGATTTTACTTAGAAAAATTATCAACTTACTTGCTTGATCAGTGGGATTCATGTATTTACCACTTTTAGTGGTATTGATCGAACGTCTTCCCATGATGGTTATTTGTTTTAAAAAGATTTATTACTTAGTTTATACAAATTAAATATATTACACGAATTTGAAAAGAGTATCAATTTTAATAAACAGAAAATAAACAATTGATAAGAGTTATCACTCAAGATGTTAAATTAAATCGCGTCATTCAAAGAATCATATTCTGTACATTTATACGTACATTTATTTAATTTAAAAAGTATGTTTGTGATATTGGTTTATGCTTTATGAATTTTTGTTGTTACTAATATATATTTTATAAATAATTTATTTTTATTAAATTTTGAAATTTTATTGCAAATGAAAAACGATTCTGAGCTATGTGAGAGCTAACTTTAAGTTCGGGTCATGCTTTAGAAAAATTAATTTATTAGGTGGACCCCCATCCCAATCAATTTTTATTACCTTTCAATACTAGATAATACAAAATAATTAATTCCATACACTGTCTTTAAATTAGTTTTCATAGGTAACTATATCAATTACCTAATTAAATATTACCCTCCAAAAAATTGAAAGTTAAAGTTTCTTTGTAATCTTCAATCGATAATCATAATTCATACAAATAAATAACTTGGATAATTATAATCAACCCAGTATATTTAGTAATAAAAATGTATCAGATACCTAAAAACGAAATTAGTAGTGAAGTCGAAAAGTATGAATTAAATCTTAAATTAAGGAAAAGAAATAGCAATTTTACAAAATATAAAATTTGTATCTACTGTTGTCATATTATGCCTACATAAAAGCAAAAAATAAATGTTTTTGTATACAATTTTTGGGTAGTACCCAGGCACACCCTGTGCGCCGTTTATGAATCTGAAATGAATTCAGTCATCTTGTAAAGGAGCGCGTAAAACAAAGGAAAATAAAATTGGGCGAATCATATTTTAGTTTATAAATAAATCGGAAGAAAATTATTTTTGTCGAACAGTAATTAACTCGAAATATTCTATGTATTTTATTCAAAATTTATTTTATTATAAATATTATAGCCAACCGTGAAAAAGCCAGAAATTAATGGAAAAAGTATAAATATTGTGTAACAATGACTGGTAATCACTATAATTAATAATATGACGACCAGCAGCAGGCTGTGGCTGTAAAGTAAGTACATATTATGAGAAGTAAAATACGTTTAATAGGTACGTTAATTAGTTAAATAACATGTAATTCTATCATAGAAAAGATTTAAAATTCAATTTTTTAATTATTTGTTAGTTCAAAATTGTGTCACAATTATAATACAAAATTTGCACATTCTTTCAAATTTTGTTCAAGATATCAGTGATAAAATGCCATATTATAACACTATTTACTATACAGATAAAGATATCTTAAATTGTGATATAAAGTATGTATATAGTATTATGTACTTTACATTAGGTTAGGTTAGTTTTTTTAAAAAAAAAAAAAAAAATGATTATCATTTTACTCAAAATCTATATTTCAAACGCTTATATAATATTGTATGTATCAAAAAAAAGTTACGAGGAATCTTTATAACAATTTTTCGATCATTTGAATGAAGTCAAAACAATTTTATTCACATAAAACCAAAAGAAGTCGACAATTTAAAATAGCTATAAATGATGTTAAAAAGACCAGATAATGTCGAAAACTATACTACGTCTAGAAAATAATAGTACGAATATTACAATTTTTTGTTTCAATGAATTTTAAAAAAAAAAAATTATCGAAATTAACAAAAACCGTAGTTATTGCGTAAATGTTCCCATTTTTTCAAGGTTTTTTTTTCAAGTTTCCCCATTATTTAGAAAAGTATGTACTTATTAAGAAAATAAGAAACTACAAAAAATTACCACCTGAATGCATTAATTAGTTAAAATGTATTACTAGAAACCATGGCTAAATATATTCAGCTATGTTAGAAACTTCTTCTAAAGTTTATAATAGGAGCACCAATTTCAAAAATTTAATTGGCGCCATTTGCAACCGTTACCACGTTATCCTTTTTATAACCGCAAAGAGCTTGTAGATAAAATTGTTGTTATGTTTGCCACATCTGTTGGTGTCGTTCATAGGTGGTATACTTTTTTTTCCAATTGTTAAAACTATAGATAATTTTCTCTTTTGTGGTTTCTCGATTCTTTGACGACTGGAACGAACAACGAACGGGCTCGTGCTGCTGTTTTTGTTTCACTGAAGTTTAATAATTAAAGATTACAATTTATCGTTCGATAATTCTCCATCTTTTCATTCCTTTTACGATTTATATTGTCGTTGGTTTATTCTTCAGTACTTTGAGAATTTTTATTTATTTACTAAAATCTCCGTTTTTCGATTACACGTAAGTAGATTTTTCTATCAACTAAACATTAATTTAATAGTTCTCATTAAAAACGGGCCAAAGTCCTAAAGTATTTGTGGACAACTAAAAATTTCAATTAAAATTGTAGCTATCTATTGCTAGACAGTTACTAATTGCTTTAAACCTAGTATTGGAAAACAATTACTTTTACAAATTGTATTCAATTTTAATATCGCATTTTATTTGTTACTCCTACTCGTGAATACCTTGTTGTCTAATTGTACTTATTATTATTCTTTTATTATAAGATATGCCAAATTTGTTTAATTTTTGGTTTAAATTAATATTATATTATTAAACATTAAGTAGATCTAGTCCTGATACTAATTAATAAATATTTAATATTAGGTGCATATTTTTATTGTTTGGGTGGGGCATATAATTACTATTTGATATTTGATAAATATATATATTTTTTTTTCATAAATATTCTAACTTTTAATGAGAAAAATATTTAATTATTTTTATTAATACATAGTTCCTGCAAGGGATGTTTTACATATTTTCATGTATTAACAGGCAAAAAATGATACAATTAATTTTATCTTAATTTCTAATCTAAATTAAAATACGGCTCTTGGGGTATAAAAAAAAAAAAAAATCATAAAACTGTAATTACATACATTTTCCGTGTACCCTGTTTGACCAATATACTATAATTAAATTTTTGATTTTCTTATTTTCCGTCGAAATGTGACTGGTTAAGAATTGTGCATTCGCAAACTTTGAGAAATTTAGATCATTTACAGTCACTGTCTGGCTCTTGTAATCAAAACTAAACTTAGGAAAATCAGAAAATGTTATATAGGTGTTCTATTCATATAGTAACTTAAACAAATGACAAACAGAAAATGTATACTTTTCAATATCTCTTTCAATATGGCTCTTGGGTAGGTAACGAAAAATGTGTTCAAATCTCATTGGTATATTTGTGTTGGAAATTAGAAATTCTGACTGTAGATAATTGACAATGTAATGGAGTGGAATGGAAAATATAGGGCTGGTTATTCAACATTTTGAATTTTTTTTTTTACCTTAAGAGTCAGACTTAAATATTAACTTAAATATTTTTACTAACTAATATAAAGTATTTTTAAATTTTGATATTAGGTACAAGGTGTAACTGTTAAATCACCTTATTGTGTCTACCTTTGTTACCAGTTAAAATAATATATAAATACAAATTATTTGATAATATTTATATTCTATTTTAATTTAAATTTGGTATGTATTTTAAAAGTGTTAAATATTTATACATTTTTAAACAGTTTATTGAAAACAGGAAATCAACAAACAGTATTATCAATTAAAAATAAGAGGTTTTTGCCTATTTATGATGTCATTTATTTACTTGTAACACATAGCTATGCTAGTTTATTAGAATTACAGGGAATTCTGTTTAATGTGATCACTGGTTTATTGAATAAACTGTTTATTGGAATCAAAAGTGAAAATCCCAAACCAAATCTTTTATTATTAATGTTAAATTAATTTTTTATTAGAATCACCAAGTACTGGATAATTGAATCACTTTTATGAACATTCTTATCGTTTTTATTTTAGTTATATGTATTTATATTGTATGTTCCAAAAGTTACAGGTACAATGTACATGTTAATATTTTGTATTTTATTTTTAATTATATGTACATTGAACATGGATTTTATTTTCATGCTAATATAAAAATAAAATTTGTAGATTCCTAAGTTTAATTAAAAATAGATAGGTAGCTTCTTTATTTTATTTTAAGTTAACACATGAATACAAAATAATTAAAAAAATATTTTATGGATCAACTGGTTATTAGAATCAAAATTACCTGAACCAATGTGATCACATTAAGCGAAACTCACTGTGTATCATTAATTTAAAATTTAAACATAGGGATTCGAACCTTTTTGTTTTAACCAGAGTAATAAAATAAGTGCCTAAGAATATATACCATTTTAAAAGTGCATAATACCCTCATTTGCTGACTTTGTCTTAACAACATACAACATACTTAGAAATTTTGTGTTCTTTATTACAAATTTAATGAATTATAATTTATTTAGAATTCAACGTGACTAGCTCTTTTACAATATAGAGTGTGGTATAAAGATCAATTGTGTATTAAAAAAAAATATTTATATGTATATGTAAGAAAATATTAAAGAAAAAATTGATATGCTCGGATTAATTGAATTTATATTACTTTTTTTAAAAATAAAATAAACTTAAATCTAAAAATATCACCAGTTGCATCAAAGAAATCTAAGGCAGTGGAGACTGAATTAGCTAGTTTCAGAGCTCTAACAAAAAAAGAGTCATTACCTGATTTGGACTTGGAATGGCAAAAAGATTATGATTTCTTGAATAGTAAGAGGGAATACGGAAATTGATATAAGCTAAAAGCTCAAGACATAAAATATTGTAATTTAATAAATCGTATATAAACATAATATCATATAACTGATGTCTTAGTAGGTGAGAGGTTTAAATTAACTACATTTTGAATCGGGATAATATTAGTCTTTAGAAATGGATAGGTTGCTCATATGGGCAATTGAATTTAAATAACTGAGGCAAATTCAAGAACAGATCTTACAAGAGAGGAATGAATTGTTTTTGTTGTAATGGGATATTTAAATTTTTGAGAGCTCCTATTTATGAAACCTAACATTTTATGAGCTTTGGTAAGCATATGTTCATGATTTAGTTTAAAGGATAATTCAGAACTGAAATGAACACCAAGGTCTTTTACCGTATAAGCTCTGTTTAAGATTATATTATCCAATGAGTCATTATAAGTAATAAGATTTTTATAACAAGTGAAAGCGACAATTTTACATTTCTCAATATTTAGGGTTAAAAAATTATTTTTACTCCAAATTAAAAATTTATCCATGTTGTTTTGCAAGTTGATTGAGTCATAAGTTGAATTAAATTGAGTGTAAAACTTTGTATCATCAGAAAAAGTAGAACTTTACGTTTTGACTAAAAATTTGAGGTAAATCATTTATGAATAATAAGATTAGTAAAGGTTCTAGGTGAGAACCCTGAGGTTCACTAGATAGTACTTGAATTTACCTATTATATTGTAAGAATATTATTTGTGTTTATATAAAGTTTTCTTTTATATTTTAATTTTTAAGCATGATGTTTTTAAATGTGTGAAATATTAATCTAAAAAAATTGCTTATATGTTGTTTTAAATTTTGTATATATATATAAAACTGATATACAATCAAGGATAATATTCTTTCTTACTTTTCCTTTTAAAAGTTCATAATGATTAAATTATGTATAAAAAATATATTAGTACTGATATCTACATATTATTATAATTAGGAAGTCATTATTGATTTATATTTTATTTCTCAGGTATTATTGTTCAAGAAGTTGTGGTAACCAGAATAGTCAAGTTTATTAGGGAATTATAATAGATTTAGTGACAGTTCAATGAGACGTGCAAGTTATGGCGGTGGTAGTCGTGGAGCACCAAGGGGAAGCAGTAGCCGTGGCTCTGGTTTCAGTAACCGTGGTAGTGGAGACTTTGATGGTTATAGAAGGGGGGGTCCAGCTGGTGGCGGAGGAAATAACTTCCAAAGCTTAAAGAGTAAGCAGCCTGGTGGAGCTCTTCGTAAACCCAAATGGGAAAATGAAACACTTCAACCTTTTCAAAAAAACTTTTATACACCTCATCCATTAGTGTTAAACCGGTATATATATTTAATATTTATAATAATATTTTAAAATTATTAGTTAAAATTAAAATGTAATTTTGTGCGTAGTCCTAAACAAGAAGTGGACAATTATGTTAGCGAAAAAGAAATTTCATATGTTGGTAGTAATATACCAGACCCAATTATGAATTTTAATGAAGTAATTCTTCCAGATTATGTTTTAAACGAAGTGAAGTAAGTTCAGAATAAAATATTTAAAATTTGTATAGATATATTATTTTATTATTGATAAAATAATTAGGAAACAAGGCTTTAGTAATCCAACACCTATTCAAGCAGTCAGCTGGCCAATTGCTTTAAGCGGTAGAAACATGGTTGGAATAGCTCAAACAGGTTCTGGAAAAACCCTTGCTGTAAGTTTTAAAAAATATTATTTTAAATATATAGTTTAAGACAAATAATTTTTGACTTATTGTGTATTCCTAAAATAAAGAATATAAGACCTTTCTTTTTAATTTGGAGAATTTAATAAAATTTAAAAATTTCTAGTTGTCAATTGCTTCATTTTTTCACCTTCTATTTTATATAGAAACTACATGATATTATTAAAATTTGATATTTGACCAATCTATAGGACTGTTATATTTTAGTAACATAATGCTGAAAATATCAAAATTCTATAAGAATATTAATTGATAACTTTACTATTAAATAGTATTTATTTCAAAGTGCTTTTAGCTCATAACATATGTACAGTTGTTGTCATTCAGCTATAAAGTAATATAAATTGTTGTCAGGTAAAATAAAATAGTACCAGTTTTATTATTATTGAGAGATTATTAGTACTAAAATTATATACTTTATGAGTTTCTACAATATTAAAGTTCTTTAACATCTTTAAAATATTAATTTATTTTATAAATTGATTTGAACACTGTATAAAATATTATTACCTACTTAGTAGTTTAAAATTATACTAATTTTTTTTAATAATCTACACATTTTACATAAATTGTTCTAGATATAATAATTAATACAAATTTTAAATCTAGTTATCTAGTTTTACTTTTCAAACTATTTAGATATTGTAAATGTAATAAGACTATAAGATGAACATTTTTTTTCAGTATATGTTACCAGCTATATTACACATAAACCATCAGCCTCGTCTTTTACGTTATGATGGTCCAATAGTTTTAGTGTTAGCACCCACCCGTGAACTTGCTCAGCAAATACAACAAGTAGCTGTTGCATTTGGTACTTCTACATTTGTAAGAAATACCTGTGTATTTGGCGGTGCTCCTAAAGGACCTCAAGCTGATGATTTAGATCGTGGTGTAGAAATTGTAATTGCTACCCCTGGAAGACTTATTGACTTTTTAGAAAGGAGTACAACTAATTTGAAACGTTGTACATATTTAGTACTTGATGAAGCTGATCGCATGCTGGATATGGGTTTTGAACCTCAAATACGTAAAATCATTGAACAGATTAGGGTATACATGTTATGATAATTTGTATTCTGGTCTTGTAATAATATATATAAATATATTTTGGTTAGCCTGATCGTCAAGTTTTGATGTGGTCAGCAACATGGCCCCCAGAAGTTAAAAATTTAGCGGAAGAATTTTTAGACGATTACATACAAGTGAATGTTGGCTCTTTGAATTTGTCTGCTAATCATAATATTTCTCAAGTGGTCGATGTATGTGATGATTTTGAAAAAGAACAAAAGTAATTATTATATAATTATTAGTCAATATACACATAATACATTCATTAAAAATTTTATTTTTTCAAGATTATACGGCTTGTTAACTGATATATTTTCACAACCAGATAATAAAACTATTATTTTTGTAGAAACAAAACGTTCTGTTGATAATATTGTGAAATCCGTAAACCGAAATGGGTAAAATATTTACTATTATATATTTAATCCCATGAATTATGAAAATTAGGTATATTGTTTTTTTGATTGTGTAGTTGGAGATCTATAGGAATACATGGTAATAAGTCTCAAAATGAACGTGATCACACATTGAATCAATTTCGGTCAGGTCAAGCAAATATTCTGGTGGCAACTGATGTAGCTGCTCGTGGTTTGGGTAAGTTGCGGTAAAGAATACAAATCAGAGCGTGGAACCCAGATTCCAGACTGGTTGTAAATGTATTGATGCCTTCGATGGTCTTGTATCTACTCACTCAGCCGGTCGGGTTAATGTCAAAGAAAACAGAGAGCACGTCGGATGATTTTCAAGGCACGTAATATAATATAGCCTATTTTTTTTTTTAATTTTTTTTTTTTAACTCTTGATAACTTAATCAAGAAAAACTATATATAATACAGGGCTGGTGTTCTAATCGCGCTGTATGTGTGGTTATTTAACTCTGGTCTTTAATGAGATATGAATATAAGCGGAATCAGTTTATTAGGTAATAATTCACATATTAAGAATTGATTAATACTGATCCGCTTAAATTATCAATCTTTAGACCAGTAATTACATCAGCCCAAAACTTAAAAGGAGGCTATGTTATACCAATTGACCTTAATTAGGCTTAAATTACTTAGTGCAGTAGAATCTTAATTATCTGAAATGTTTTATAGAATTAGATTTTTATTAACTGCTTTAGATACTAAGTTTATTTTTATTGTTAACTATCAGGAAAACAGGCTATAAAACATAAATTCAGATAATTAGGTTCCTACTGTAAATATATCTGTTAGACATTCTCGATAGGCACCGAGGAGTAATTAAATATAAATGTGAAGGAGCAAAATGTTTTTATATTTATTTAGGAATTTTTGTTTTAAGTTTTATTTTTAGCTATTAATATTGATGAGCTTAATCAATTCTTGGACAAATTTTTAGGATCAATTTCAGGAGTCTGAGATTTGCTGATTGCATTATTTATTTATTTTTTGTTAATTGATAACAAACATTTTATTTATCTGTTCCATTATTATATGGTACTTAGGTTTTAATTAATATCTACTAAAAATTAAATTTATTTGATAAGTACTATTATTAGTAGTTGATAAATGGATATTAACAAATAAAACATAATTTTACATATTATATAAACATTTTCAAATTTTGCTATAAAATAAATTTAAAATTCAGTTTTATTTAATTATTTAAAGTATTTATTATTTTTTCTTTTGTGTTCATAGATAAATTCTAAACTTTATTTGTTAACTACAATGTTATCATATAAAAATAGTAAAATGTATGTTTTATGAGGTGTATAATGTAGTCATGTAGTGCACTGTTGTACCTCTTTATTTTCAAATTTGTGTGTTTCGTGCTCATAATTCTAAACTATGACTCTTTTGTGTATTAATTTAAAAATGGATTTTTGTGTGTAGGTGTATAACTTATCAAAATATTAAATAATAGTTCCAAATATAACACGATGTGTAAATAAGTAAAAATAATAATCATTTGTATTGTTCACCTTATATACTATATTTTGTTTTATAAACATTTTTTATTTTCATGCTGGCTAAGTAGTAGGCTTGTTTTGAATGAGTAACTTGAAGATCAATTTAATTTAATTTAAGACACTTTTGATTTATCTTAAATTACTATTTTAAAAACATTTGACTAAAATGATCTTAAAAAAAAAATTGTTAAAAATTTTAAGTGTAACAGAAAAGATATTAGCTTTATTATATGTATTTTTTTTTTCTTAGAAAACTTGCGGCAGCTGGTAAATTTTTTTAATTTTTTATAACACCTTAAACGATTCTTTTCTATGTGGTACTTTATTTGAAAATTTGTCAACATTTCTATTAGTTTTTTTAAAACATGATGATAAATATTGATGTATTAATTTAACTTTAGTTGACTTTTAAATTACCTTAAGTTATCTTGATTATAGGAGATATACAATTCTTAAATTTTAGACAAAATATTTTTGTATTAAAACAAAAAACATTAAATCTATTCAAATTTGAGTGTGTTCTAAATTATTAACTAATTAAAATTGATTTATTTTTAATAGAGTAAAAAAAAAAAAAAAAAAATGGAATTATTTTTTCAGTTTTTAAATATCATTCTTGATATAAACTGTTTTAATGTTCCACATTAAATATTAAAACAAATTCTAATTTAATGACATGTACTATTTGATAGAATATACCAAAAATACCTTATGTTTTTGATTAGTAGATATTTTTAATTACTATAATCTACTAAAAATAAGATGGAACTACTCTTGATGACAGTAGTCTACTTGTATAAAAAAAAAATGAAATGTGGGAACATGGATGTTAGAATGCTCTTTCATTATTTCACATTGAAAGAAATTAAGATACAATACAGGGATCTATAACGTTATTAATGTCTTACTCATAATCTAACTTATATTCTGTTTCTTTACTTATATTATTTATAAATATTGGTAAATAATTTGCATGGTTTACTGACTGTAAGTTAAAATATGTAAATTACTTCACCAATAAATAATATTCATTTGTGAAGCATTTACTAACAGTTTAAATTTAGTGAAATCATGTGTATTTCATATCATACGATTGTTAATAGACATAATTTTTAAAACCAAAAATATATACTATTTTAATGTTATTTATATTATAAGCAAAAATATATTTAAAATATTTTGGCCTTTAGAAACGGTTAAGACTCATCATAAGAAGGTAGAAGATAAAACAAGACTTACACATATTGTATAATTTTATATCATTATACAAATTTGTATTGTAATTTTATTTATTATGCAGCAAGTTATGCTCCTTCATGTTAAATAAAAAGGCATCTAAATATTTAATTTTACGTCAATCAGTCTGGTCATTTTATAGTTTATATATTTAAAAATGTATTATAGCGTAACATCATACATAATTTAAATAGGTTATTTCTTGGGTATTCAAACAGTTTTTATTTATGCTGTTACAGTTTCATAATTAAAATATAAGTATGTTTAATAATTAGTCGCTGAATATATTTATTAATTTGTTTGGATAATTTTTTATTTATTATGTGCAGTCAATATGATAAAAAGTTTTTCTTTTTAAAATCATATAATTAATATTGTAATTGTTAATTTTGCTTTATGCGCTGTTAATTGATATTGTTGTATAAACAAATTTTCAAGTAATATTAAACCAATTTTTCGCTTATAGCTTATACTCATAATGAATAGAAAAAAATGTATGTTGCTTTATTTCTTTTTATACATCTAATCTAATGCTTACTGACAAACATTAAAAAAAACTTTTAATTAGAAAAACAAAATTTTAAATAATTTAATAAAGTTTATTTTAGTAGTAAGGTTTACTTACAAATAGGCCATGGTCGATTAGTCACCGGTCTGTTTCAGATCAGTCATGTCACCAACTCATTTCAGTAGTCCCAGTTTAAATACATCATAAATGAAATATTGAACACAGCTCCTGATTCGTTATGTGATATAAATGGTATTCAGTCAAATATATTTATGAGTACAGTTATAAAAGATAAGAACTAGCCAAAATTATTTCAGATATACCATTAAAATCTTTGGACATTTCCATTATTCTATATTTAAATTTAATTAAAATATAAGTAGTATTTGTCAGAATATTACAGCATGATTTTTTTTATCATGAACCAGCAATTATTTCTGAAGATTTTAAGTGAATATGATTTCTGTTTTTCCTAATGTTTATGGAATCGTTTAAGCTTTATTTTAAAACTATTTTTAATATTTTACTTAAAGTTTAGATCGGAGGAGTAAGGAAGGGTAATAAATTACCTATGATCCTTCTCTACTTCTTCAGTTTAAACTTTAAACTGTTGTAACTCATAAACAGTAAATCTGATATTAGTGTAAAATATTAAAAATGGTTTTAAAATAAACCTTGAACAATTTCATAATGATTAGAAAAAACAGAAATCAAATTCACTTAAAATCCTCAGAGATAATTACTGGTTCATGATAAAAATAATCACCCTATACATCTGCACAAATATATAGTTTATATTTTTACTAATCAATGATTATATGTTATACCTAAGTTTAGTAACTAACCGCTGAAATTAAAAGGATTTTTGATAGCTATATACAAATGAATTTGACATAACGAAACTGAAATGATCAGCGACTGATCGGAAATAAAAATATTTTCTTGTATTTGTATACAATTTAGAAATTAGCAAAATAACCTAAAATTAAATTTTAGTGTACTTCTGTTTTCAATACCTTAAATAATAATACTAAACTTGGGAACACAAAGGGGATGTTATTTTGCCGCTTGTTTTAATTTCATATTAACACACTAACATTTACTTACAGAAATATTTATTAATACTTAATATTATTTAGTATATGAATATTTCTACTAGATAACATCATAGTAAATGAAAAAGTTATTTTCCAACTTTTTTATTTAAAAAAAAAAAAAATTAGATGCGGTTCATTTTGTCAACAGTAAATTTCCTTCCTTAAAGTGCATTTAATTTATAATATTTGAAAGTATCAGATAAGATCCAGTGAAATTGTTTAATTATTTTTGGATAAGTGCCTTTGCATTTGAATAACTGCTAACTGTGTAGCGTGAACACAACTTGTTGAAAGTTCAACATTTTATTAAAAATTTAAAATAAAATACGCTCTGAATCTAAATGTCGCGTGTTGTGTCTGTTGTTTACCATTCATTGCAAAGTATTTTATTTTTATTGCACAGCATTTAATTTATATTAACGCAGTGAAGTCAAGTTGCACTCAACAGCTTTTTTTTTTAAGGCAACATTCGTGTTTTATGCTCTTTATTAATTTCAATGTGTTAAAATAAAATAGACTGTAAATTTATGGCTTGGTAAAATAACAACCCTGTATTCCCAGCCTAATAGAATTGTCTAATTTTGTTACAATCTTATGTCGAGTTTTATTTTCAATTTTGTATGTAATATGTTTATATTTACTTAATAATGTATAAGAACTTAATTTTTGATTCAATAATTTTTTTTTATTGTGTCAATTTCTTTAATTTTAGATTTTTATTTAGCACATATTTTAATAATTATTACTTTTTAGTTTTATTTATCCAACTCTCATAAATATAAATATTGATTCGTATTTTGTGTAATATATTCGTATATGTATAATAGAATGAGATATTAATTTTTATTATTGTCTACTATATTTTATAATAATAAAATTAGTTTTCTTCTTTTAATGTGTTAAATATTGAAATATTGTATTCTATAATAGATGTGGACGATGTCAAATATGTAATCAATTATGATTATCCAAATTCATCTGAAGATTATGTGCATCGTATTGGCAGAACTGGTCGTTCTAGTCGTACTGGAACAGCATTTACATTTGTTACACCCAGCAATGCTCGTCAAGCTAAAGATCTCATTTCTGTTTTACAAGAAGCCAAGCAAGTGGTCAACCCAAAGCTGTTTGAACTTGCAGAAATGGCTGCTGCAGGAGTATTTGGGAAAAGTATGGATTTTTTTTGTATAATTTTATTATGAAAACCTATTTATTTTTTAAATATTTTAGTGGACCGTTCCAATCGTAGTCGTGATCGTGGTGGACAGAACAATCGAGGGCGAGGTGGTCATGATCGTGGTAGTCGGGGAAACTTTAATAGCGGTGGTGCTCGAGGAACATACAGTAACAGAGGTGGTGCTGCTTCTTCAAGAGGAGGTCGAGGCAGTTATGCAGGTGGAAGTCATAATACCAGCCGTGAAGGATATACAAGCGGAAATCAGGGGGGTCGTAGTGGATATACAGGAACGAATGCTGTGAACAGTGTAAACAATAATGGTGCTGCTACTGGTCGTGAAAGAACCAGCAGATGGGGAGATAGTAATAACAGTCAAGTAGCTCTACATCAACCTAGTCAGCATCAGCCAGCATTTGTTGCACAACCGCCCGTCCAAATACCTAACATGAACAACCCACCTCCTGGTTATCCGAATAATTATGGATTTCAAGCGCAGCAATCTAATAATAACTTTAGAGGAGGATTTTAATTTATGACTTATTTTTTTAAATATTTATAAAGCACTTCTATTTTCAAACAAAATTTTAATAGACAACGGTATGTTAGATAAAGTAAACTTATACAATAAATGTCTTATAACATTAATATTAGTAAATTATTGATTAAAAGATTACATTATATATATTTATACATATAAATTTTAATTTATAACATAAATTCTACACAATTATGCTTATTTATAATTTGATTTTTTTTTTCATTTTATATTTTAGATGAAACACGTTTTAATTATTATTTTTTTATAGATAGTTCTGAAATTAACTAGTAAAGAATGATATTTTTATTGAAGAAAATATTTAATTTTATTGACACAATTAGGATTGAATATTAGATAAATGAACTCTTGGTTGTTTTATATTAACATTGCTAATATTTATAGCATGTGAATTAGTCAATATTATTTTCATGTATACATATGAAAATTAAATGTAATATATTTTAATTATTGATTATGTGCACAGTGCCTGGTTGACCAATGAGTTGTAAAAATTATATTCCCAAAATATATTATTAAATTATACAATTTTTTTTATTATCTGCTGAAATTATATTGATCTTTACAATTTCATAAAATACATAATATAACATTCATAAAATATTAAAATTTAATTGTATTAATATAAAATATTTTCTTTTAATTTTAAATAATATTAATATATTAAATAGAAAAAAAAAAACACTTACATTATTACTAACTCATAATCATTTTTACCATAAATAATTCAATAATATAAACATACATATTGAAATTTGAGCAAATTATAAAATATTAAATTAAAAATATATTTGCCTTGTTAGATTAGTAGGCTCTATATTACTACAATTATTGTCAAAAATATTATTTCATAGATTTATTCAGTCACTTGTCAGTCATAGACCACAGACCCTGGTTGGCTGTTGAATAAATAATACTATTAAAAATATACCCTTATTGTAACATCAACTCATGATGTGCGACAATGAAAACTTATTTTCTGAACTAGATGTTCTCATAATCTCATCGGCTGGAGTTACACGATTTCTTGGACCAGGTTCAGGAGTGTATGTAAATGTTAGTCCAGTGGCATAAATGATTCCATCATTTCTCACCAATGATACAGGAACTTGTGTTAGCTGTTTCACCCATGACCAATCTCCTCTGAATGAAGAAATATCCGGTACTACTGCTATCATACTTTCTTGGCAACGAAACATAGTTTCCGACTCTACATTTCCAAACCAAACTTGTAGATGTGGTGTAAAATTTTCACCACTTAGTTCTAACATGGCAACATCTCCGCCGCCATTTGTATTAAGGCCATGAACTACAGGTACAGGTGTTATTGGTGAATTTACTGGTCCCATTCCTTCGTAAAATTGATATTCTGCTTTGTCTGTACTGATGATAGTCCAACAAGCTCCATCATTGATCATTTCTTTATTTGGGACTTTTGGACACGGAGTGGCTTGAAAATTAGTAATACGTTCTTGTGATAAACACAAATACATGTGATCAGTGTCTTTCATATAAAATGCACATTTATGCAATTGTGACACAGGATCATCGGCTTCTAGCAAAGCTGTTTGTTTATCAACTTTTCTAATTACTAATCTAGGTAAAGCCATTCCAGAAACACTGCACACCAATTTAACAGTACTTCCATAATGAATGTAACCATCCCTAACATTAAACATGTCACTTTCACTTTCATCATCATCTAACAAGTATATGATAAAAGCTCCCCATTGTGTTGAACTGGCGTGAAAGGTTCCATTTTCAACATGTAAATATCGAGTACTCACTGTTTGTGATCTAAGTCTATTGAATAATGCCACTTTTGTACCGCTGGCAATACAAAGATCAGCATTTTTCAATGACTGTTTCTTTTTCGAAGGTTTTGATATCACTTTTATTCTCTTGCTATGGAACGTTCCAATATCATAACCATTGTTATAGAACATCCTCACCATAAGCATAAAGTGCTTTCGCTTATCAGAATCTGATATAAACAAAGTTTTGGCTGCACAATATTGTTTACTGTTGTTAAGATCGAGCGGTTGTAAATCTTGATCTGCACTACCAATACCGATGAATGCACTCATTTGAGAATTTGTTTCGGTAACTCCTTCTCTCAGCAGTTGTTGTTGACGCGAACGCCAACCATTACCTAAAAGATACACGCATGGGGGTGGGCAAAAAAAACGTTTTTCATTGCCATAAGATTTTTGGGCAACTTTAGCATGAAGAATGACTAAAACCAAGTCGTTTCGATCAAGCAAATATCTTTCCATAGCATCTTTTGTTAGTCGTTTTTCAGGTCGAACCTGAGCTGAAGGGCCTTGTGGATTATAGTTGTGAGGCATTATAGCAAATAGCAAATCTAATGTCGTAAATATTATTCAAATGTTTAAAGACAACTACTGTAATTTTGTTAGTTGTTACTTGTTGCACATTACCAACCAATTTTCTTTAATATTGTAGATTTAAGCGTTGATGGACATGTCAATCGTGATTTACATATGTCTGTACAAACATAATAATATAATATAAATTAGTTAATTGAGTGATAATTATAGTCAAATAATAATATAGTGGTAATAATTTATGATTTTGGAAAATATAATTCAAATGATCATAATTTAATGTTATTCAAATTTAGATAAATAAATTCCTTTTAAGATTAATTTTTGATATTAATTGATACATACATTTTTGTTGTAGATTAAAACTATCCAAGAAAAATAAACAGAATTCTTAATTTAAAATTTAAAGATTTTTTTAACTATGTTTTTATCAGAGTTGAAACGTATAATACAGTAACTTATAAAACTATTATACGTACAGTATAAAATATTTAATATTAGTTGTATTATAGCTGCAATGAAATTATTAACAAAAAAGACATTTGTTTTACTTTTATTTTAAATTTAAATAAATTCAGATAGATGCGATTTGTATAAATTTAGGTATTTTCTGATTGAACTGAAATATAGGTATACAGAGTATATACAGTATTACCCAAATACTAATAACTGTCAATTTTATTTTGGTAGGAAAAAATGTAAAGTAAAATTATATTTGTCCCTAAATTACAGAAAAAAATCAATTTTTTTTTTTAAACTTTTAAAATTTTCAAAATAACCAATTTGTCAAATATATTATTCTAATTTTTCAATGTATTATACATTCATATATAATCAATAGTTTCTTAGAAATAGCCGTTTTAATATCTAGACAAAGCTGTGAAACACGAGACTACTATAATACATGATAGCGAATCATAGTTGTAATAAAAGGTAATCATAGAAAATTAAAATGGCTATTACTAAGAAACTATTAATTGTATATGAATGTATGATACTTTCAAACTTTTTTGCAAAATATGCGCAAATTGTAAAATATATATGAAAAAATGTTAAATATGCAAAAAATGATTTAAACGTTTATTATTCAATAACATATAATGTCATTATTAATATCCACAAAAAAAATTGATTAAATGTGAATTGCACAATAGTCGTTAAATTATATTGAGTTTTATATTTAATATTATTTAAAATAAATTGGTTGAGAAAGGAAAAAAAAAATCAAAACTTTTTTATAAACATTAAATATCAAAATTTAAGGCGTTTTTCCTTAAAACAGCAGTATTAATGTATTATATAAAAATAATATGGGCATCATCTTTATTAAGACCTTGTTTAAATTCAAAAATAATATATAATAATATAGGTAATACATACATATCTAAAAATATTTATAAAATAAAATTATTAATAGTACTCACAATCTTTATATAAATTATTAATCGGGTTATTAACACATATAAATATATCATTTCTTTTTCAGAATTTTTGATTATTTAGATAATTTTAAAAATACCATCAATTATTATCTATATATATATATACCTATTTTTATATATTATTTTTTTTATTGTAACCTTAAGAAAAATAGTTTGTTGTACATTTAGGATCAAAACAGAATCAGAATACAAAACAAAATATTTCTAGTATTAATATCAATAAATAGTTTTATTACCCAAAATACAAAACACTACAATATTCAAATAAATGTACAAATTATAAACTAAAAGAAATGAAATCAGAGTTTGAAGAACTTAAAGATGTATTGGGTTCAGCTACTTTACTATATTTAAGTATATTATTTGATATTTTATATTTCATACACATTGTAAAAAGCCAACTACCGCTTAAATATATTTATAAAAATATTAAAAAATTTCCAATTCAAACGTGCTTACACAACTTTTTGTTCAACACAGTACTCAACTAAGTTTTTTAATATGCTATGTGAACATAAAATTAAAATAATAATAATACAACGAACACCATAATATAATATTAAATATTGTACATCGATAATCTGTAGATCATACGTACCAATGAAATTGGGTAACCGATTATCTATTAGACTGCAATAGTATTATCTAAGATTCTCAGATTCCAATCAAACCATTTTGGTAATACGCAATTGTTTGTCATATAGTAGCATGTACAATTTGAATTGTTTGGAAATAAACACTTGCCGATGGAAAATATTTACAGGACAGACATAACTACATAATAAGTAATAATAATAAAAATAAAAATATTAATATATTATTGATATTATGGTTTTCTATGACTTTGGCACTGGCTGCTTTCTTATCATCTATGAGCTAGACGACGTTACGTTGATAACAAAGTCTGAAAAGAAATAATCGAATTCGCGGGTTTTTTTTGTACTTGGCATGGATAAGAAATGTCGACGTTTGTCACGGAATACGAATAGACCAACCTGTATCGGCATTTGGCAGTATCAAGACATTGATCTGGATAATATTATACTTTAATCATGACTAATAGTGAGATATCGAATTTTTGACTACGTAGTAGTACTATAGATCTTATATGCTTATTATCCTTATTCATTCTCTATCACACTAAACCACCATAAAAAAATAATTAAACTCAACCACGAACTTTACAGAACTGTAAATGAACGGTAGGACGGGTGGGACGAATGGTAGGGACTCCACAAAAACCAACTAGTAATGCAGGTAAGTGCATAAAACAACCGAAAGTAAATCAGCTGAACCGTATTTAAGCTGTACAATTTTTAAGCAGTAAAATATTTCGGCCGACCCGTATTTTATGATTTTATCCGAAGATATTTCAGCCGACTGTAATAAAAAGGTAAGGTCAGATCTTCTAAAAAACGATAATGCGTGATGAGAAATAAATAATAAAAAAGAAATTCCGAACATATTATTTTAAAATGAAAAACTAACCAGATTCTTTGACTTCTATTTTTTTAAATTTTTAGTCAATAAAGATAATTGAAAAATATATTAGTTTAGTATTGATAATAAATCTAACATACATAAGTGGATGTTTATCTACACTTGAATAATTTAAATGCTTACAAGCAAAAGCCGTCATTAGGTACAAGTAGGGGCTAAAAGCGCCATCTATACATGTGTTATAAAAACACAACGATAAAAATAATTAATCATAAATCAGAAAACATGAAAATAGTTAAAATTAAATAATATACTGATTACTGACATGATCCTTTATTTTTTTTTTTTGCAAACTTATAAGTAATATTAATTTACAGGTTGTTATAATAATACACTTAACACTTCTAAAAATTGAAATTAAATGACAAATTAAGTAGGTATTAACCTGACAATTTTTTTTTTTGCATTAAACCTCATTGCAATTTTATTTGTAATTGACGAATATTATTATCTATTTAGATATATATTAGTTAAGGATGGGGTCACTTTTCTCGAAAACCATATACGTATCTTAGTCCGTGGAGTCGGCTATATAGTTGTTTTATATAATATCTGTGATACTACCCGATTTTGTTATTCTTACGTCTCACATGTAATACATTGTTTTATATATTTGTTCTCATAAAAATTAGTTTATCAATATTTGGACCAATCACAGCATATGACGCGGAAATGTGTAGATAGTAGATAAGCGTAACACGTTGGACGCTGAGATAGCTACTTCCACTTTAATTTTTAACTGTAAATAATTGATTAAAGAATAAATAATAGATTATTGATATTCTATACTAGTCACACATTATATTAAGTTATATTATATTTTATTTATTTACAGGAATTAAATATTAGTTAAGATGTTGGACACACGTCCAAACCATACCATCTACATTAATAATTTAAATGAGAAGATAAAAAAGGATGGTGAGATCTCTTATGGTTCTAAATTATTTTATTTTAATTGGTTTTTTTATTCTTAGACTTGAAGAAATCTCTTTATGCAATATTTTCACAATTTGGACAAATTCTCGACATTGTAGCAATGAAAGGAATAAAAATGAATGGTCAAGCTTTTGTTATATTCAAAGACATAAGCAGCTCTACAAATGCTTTACGTGCAATGCAAGGTTTCCCATTTTATGATAAGCCAATGGTAATATAATAAATAATATAATGTACTTATGAGTGATTAAATGTATGAGCCATTAAAATATTTATCTTTAAAAAAAAATTTGTCATTTTTCAACACTTTAGTATAAGAAATTTGAAAAAAACAATTTTATACGTGTAATAACAAAAAAAATCTTATATAAATTCAATAAATATTCTTTTTACGATTTTGATAATAAGGATAAAATTACTCAATGTATTAAGTTAATTGTCAATTAGTAGAAATACTAGTAAAGAGAAAATATATATGAATTAACTGAGTACTTTTAAACGACTACAAATTTTAAAATTTTTTTTTCAAACATATACTTTTGGATATACAAAAAAATGTAGGGACATTGTACATATGAAAAAGAGAGGGACAGTAAGATAGAAAAATTAAAGTGATTAGATGCGATTGAGAATGTTATGATATGAGAATATTCGATGTATGAAAGGTGAGAGATCGGGTCAAATGTATGTTTAGAACGAGGGTTGTTGACATTAAATAGATGGCATGAAGGAAAAGAAAATTTTCTTAATGTATTTTGAATTATCAAAAGCCAATTGTAATTTTATTTTAGTTTCGTTTTGCTGTGATACATTATTGCATATTTTTTTATATTATTCATAACTTTTAGTAATTCAAATTAATTATTGCACTCTTGATATTCAAACCATTTAGTATTTTAAACATTCAGTAATTCAAAGTTTTTTATAAGACCCTCCAAATTCAAATTATTGCAAGTTAACTGTATTGCTTTTTAATACAAATAAAAATATCTTCTATCAAATAAAAGGTTTCATACTAATTATTTTTAAACCGGTATAAATAAAGTAATATAGTAAAAAGTGTAACTCTGGAGAACATAATATTATATTTACTCCTTTGTATTTCTACTTTAAAAGCTTAAAAACATATGTACTATCCAAGTTATTATCTGATATACTTCTTGGTAAACTTATAATCATAATTTATAAAAAAAAATGTTCTGTATGTATACAAATTCATGATGTGACCATTAGAATAGTTTCTATAACAAATGTAGAGTAACCTTTTTCAATGTAATAAAACAACTTCTAGACTTGAATGTACCTAATTTAAAACTTTCAATAGGAAATTACTTGTTTAACCATACATTAAAACAAATAATAAATTCCAATTAAAGTTGCTGTTCATAAAAATTTTAGATAGTATTTTCATATTATTTATAAGAATAAAAATGAATAAAGAAATAATTGTAAAATTATTTGTATTTTAATTATAGCGTATACAGTTTGCTAAATCAGAATCGGATTTAATTGCAAAAATGAAGGGTACTTTTGTGGAACGCCAAAAAAAACCTAAGAAGCCAAAGGATGACGAAGAAGCGAAAAAAAGGCGTAAAGCTGCTAAAGAACAAGCTCGTGCTTTGGCACAACAAAATAACCCTGGAGGTGCATCCGGTGGTAGTAAGTACCATTTATAATAATATCTCTTATTAAGTAGAGCAAATGGTGTTAATATATATTTTATTATCCAACAGGTGTACCTGAACAACCACCTAACCAGATTCTTTTCTTGACCAACCTTCCTGACGAAACAACTGAGATGATGTTATCTATGCTTTTTAATCAGTAAGTGTTGTTGTTTTATACTACCATTGTACATAGTTTTTAATAAAAATGTTTTAGGTTCCCCGGATTCAAAGAAGTGAGACTTGTACCAAATAGACACGACATTGCTTTTGTGGAATTTGAAAACGAACACCAGTCAAACACTGCCAAACTGTCATTGAATGGTTTTAAGATAACACCAACTCATGCGATGAAAATTACATTCGCCAAAAAGTAAAAGTTTTCTTAGAGAGAAATAAAAATTTTAATGTTGTGAATTAAAAACAAATACATAACTTTTAATATATTCAGAATTACAATAAATCAAAAAATAATAATATTACAACTTATTTTAGTTTGAGGATGTTGTTTAATAAGGTTAAGCTTATTTATGTTTGTCCAAAACAATATTGTCGCTGAGACAATGATGTATGAAAAACAAAAATGGCTTGTTTACATTGTACGTGGGGTGACTGGTGGCTGCTGATGCGACAGTGCCAATTTCTAATTTGTGTAAAATGTCACTGACTTATAAAATTGGAGCCTAAATTAATTTTGGACAGGTTGGCTTTTGATGAATTATTGAAAACACTGTTGATTTTCATGTTCTACAGAAAAGAAATACATATTAAATTTACTAACTTTGTGTAATCTTTCTTTTATATATTTATTAAGTTTGTATTACAGTAAGTAGCTTATATTAAAAAAGTAAACTTTTGTTTTTGTAATGAAATTCGCTTTAAGCAACAATGGTATATAATTAATTTACTTCATAATATTTAAATGGTCTAGAAAAAAAAAATGCTACAAATTAATTCAAGTTTAATATTTTTCTATTTTAGATACAGTTATAAGACATTTTTCACAAGTTATAAATCTCTCAATTTTTTTTTCATTGACTGATTTTTAGTTAATATTTTTACTACTTATTTCATAATATTGAAAATAGTGTTCATAATAAATTCTAAAAATATCTGTTCATATTCCATTAAACGATAAATTACAATAATTTTAATTTAAGCATACAATTGACCACCTTTAGGAAATTATAACAAGAATAGGCAAGTATTGTATAGTGTGATCTTTTACCAAAACTAAATAATATTGTTGACTTGCAACACCGATTTTACTGTATCAAGACCAGATAATTCAATTAGATTAGATGTAATTTGGTGAGAAATATGATGATTTTTTCAGTCATTATATAACTATTATGAATTCTCATTTGAGAACCACCATTTATGTATGGAAAACATGTTCTATTATTTAAGTATTCACCACTTTGAAAATACCTTGTGCAGGAAGGAAAACCTGTATGTCCTTTAACTGTAAATACAAATGATTTTGCTAGAGCATCAGAACAAAATGCTCTTATTGAAACTTTTAAATTAGTTTAATTTATTTGAATCCCATTTTAAATTAAATTTTTAGTTTCTTCAATAAAATATTCTAGGTAGTTACTGCTATCATGTGGTTTTTTATTATCATGGTAAATCCCAATAGAAAATACGTACTTTGAGTGAGGATATATGTATGTTAATATTGGCAAAAACTGGCTGGTACTACTTTTAAATAAAGGTAATCCATCAACACCAATGCTGATCTAAATTGGTATTACCACCCAGGATTCATAAATTCAATGTTGGTGACTTTTGTTTGTGCTGAATGTACTAACATTCTACTATCTAAAGGTAACTTTTGAAATGAAGAATGATCTTCTTATTTTAAAATATGAAGTAATTTATGTATTATTGTGTGAGAAACATTACACTCTATAGCCCAATTTCTAAGTTTAATATTGATAAGTAATTTTGTTTTAATATTTAAGATTTGTGTATCGTTGCAGATCATTTTTATTGGAGATTCGATATTACATATTTTTTGGATATCGGTATTAGGTGTAGAAAATTTAGATAATTTTTTTGTCAATAAATTACCTGCAACAGATACTGTAGACTGATTTTCTAAAGATGATTGTGTAGACAAATTTTTTAAGTCAGAAATTTTACAAATTAATTGATCATTACTATTATTGGAAGCTTCATTATGTACGACAGATTTATAAGGTATCACTTTGTACACGACAAAAAAAAGACAAGGTTTTCATTATTTCGTAACGGTCGACAAAAAACAAGATCAAATAACTTCAAGTATACCTAACTGTAAGTAAATACTTACAACTTAGTAGTTATAATAACCGCACTTCTGTACTTCATGAACGACGAAAAAAAAAAATTATGGTGTATACTATTGTCTATTCCGTAAACGGTTGAAAAGAAAGTAACAAATAGCCTAACTGTAGGCATACCGTAAACTAAAATAACAAACAGACGGATTAAAAAGAAACAAGGGAACCATAAACAATATTGAAACGCATTTTCATATACCTAACGGTCATAGATATTAATATATTGTAACTGCCATGGAAATCAAGCGCAATGACAACAACATGATAGTACAATTTTAGGCTTCAATACTGGTTACTTCAGTTTCAAATTTTAACAACGTTTTTTAAGAAGTCCCTAATGTATTTTCAAGAATTGTACATCCCAGATTTTTAGTCACCCAAACGATAAATATAAATCTATAAATAATTCTGATAAAAATGTTTATGACGTATTAATGCAGGCCGTGATTCTACTAATCCGTGTGAAAACCGATTTTATCTAGGGAATAACTTGACCGCGTTACGCGATAACATGCATGATACATTAACATTTTTAGAAAAATACTCTTCAGAAAGGCTATCTTAAAATTTTTCGAAAATAATATAATGGTAATTTTTTTAATATTTGTAGTCCTCATCCCTGTGAGTAATATAAAAAACAGAATTTGATTATCTTTATTATCTCAGGAGATATTCAAGGGGTGTATCTTCGTTGGACAGCTTGTATATTGTTCATCATTTCTTTGTATACTCTATTCAAAATAAGAAGCACAGTTGGCGACGACGTGTTTTCGTCACCGCCGGTCATAGCCACGCCCATTCTTCCTCCCACTTGGTCAACCACCGGTTGATCAGTCAGCGGCGTCGGCGCATGGTGGTGCCAGCGACTGAAAATCGACAGGTAATCGTCGTGCCTTTTTCGAATACAATACTCATACCTAGTTTACATTCAGCCGCTGCCATCGTAACTCGTGCTGCCGTATTTGCTCCACAAAATACTTCTGTGACAGCGTCGACGGCAGTGAGTGTTTACATTGCCCTGCTAATTATAGCAGCGCGAGCAGTAATTGACCGGATTGATCGCATTGCCGGTTATGTTGCTGCTCGCGCTGCTCAGTTTACCGCTCTTAACGGGAGTGTCGGGCAGCGTCAGTGCGTGGAGCATGATCAGCGCGAGTGACGTGTTTACATACTCGCGCTTCTTATTTTTATGCTCACTTCCCTGCTCACTGCCAAGTGGGCTGAATGTAAACTAGGTAAGAACGTGTACCTACCTACTTCGTTCAGTTTAAATTGTGTTCGTTTTGTGACTACATCGTTCGCCTTTTCGTACACAATTTATAATTTTTCTTCTAATACACAATTATTCAACAATCCTTTCAAAGATGAGTGGATTCCATTTATCAGATGAATCTACAGAAAATTGATTGGATATTATTTCTCCAGTCAGAGAATATCCAAAAGGAAAAGTAAGTACCTAAAACATTGTTAGTGAATTTTATTTATAAATGTATTGTTTTTTGTTGCAGCGTATCAACAGTTGTCAGAAAACAATTATAATAAATATGTACATAGATATAATTGAAAAAACGCTAGTAATAATATATAACGATTTGTGTGTAAATCTGCATCGCACCACGGGTGTAAATTGGTCGTAAATCAATAGAAAAAATCATTATAGTTTCTAATATGAGGGTGCGTTCAGAAATGTTATCCACGATTTCTGGGGAATTCGATAGAGAAAGATTTTAGCACCGCCCACTTAAATGAACCATCAACCAAGTTACCTAAGTTATGTTTATAGTTTTATTAGAAATAGATTAAGTTTTGGCATTCACAAGGTTATAGATAAGTAAACTACCCATTATTTACATTTTATATTAAATGGCTAATAATAACGAAATTGTAGACATGGCTGCAAGTTGCTCGAATAAATTTCTTCTTGATTGTGAACTGACTGAACTCTTCAGTATTGATGATGATGAGGTTACATTAGAGAAAGAATCTCCAATTCGAATTTAAAAGTACATAGAAAATGTTGATATACATATTATGTTTTTCAAAATTTAGGTAATTTAGGATAAAAATAGTAATATTTTTTTATGTAGTGTAATTTATTAGTTTTTGTAATTACTAATTAGTAATAATATAGTTCATATACTTACAACTACAACTTGAGGAAACTTTAAAAAAATAATTAAATCAAATCGGACATTAACAATAAACAGTTAAAATAAATCTTGTTATTTAATAAACGTGATATTAGGTCAAAATTATATCAAAATATAATTGGCGCAAAGTAAGAAGTGGTTTGAACTATACATACCACTGTGTGTTAAAGGAGGTGAACTAACCAGGTTGTTGTTTCTGGACGTAAAAGAGGCGTGTCGGGAATTACCCTCTGGAAAACGTTTCTAAATGCACTAGGTATTTGAATGGTCTTTCCACTGAATATTATTGTTGTATATATTATTTAAATAGATAATTGTTTGGTGATAACCTCGAACCAAGATAAAAATAATATAATTTATATTAAACTATTTCTATAATACACTTCGTGTGTTCCTAAATCAATCTGCTAATCCAGTGGATTGATAGTTTAAGAACACGGTTTTTGTTATTCAGTTGGAACATATTGGTTAATACCATTATTTAAGGTTATCAATAAGCCATGATAACCAATGTTTTATTCTTATTATTTTTATCGAGATCTAGAAGTATGAACTATAAAAACATTTGATTACAAGTTACAATAAAATATAATATAGGTATACATAATAGGATTAAAAGATATACAAATCGAGTCGGCATCTAAATGTTTTATAAAATTATTTCCAGTATACAAAAACCGGTGTTTTCATTGTATTATACAAATCGAGCGTTGGAATTTGAATTTGAAAACACCATGGTTATATAACCAATATTTAGCCATGGGAAATACGTTAGCACATTAAACAACAAATTTTAACGCAACACATTTTTTTTTATCAAATGTAGGTTAGTAAATTATAATTATAATCACATCTATCTGGTCAAACACTTCCACCCAAAAAATATTAGATTGCTGATAAAGCAATCCGATTGATCACTTTCCCTTCAACAGATTGATCAGCAGCTGAGTTTAGGGGCAGTTAAATCTAGCGGCTGACCAATCTGCTGAATTTAGAAACACGCGGACTATTGTAGAAATGTGTCTTAATATTTTATTAGAGAAATGATAATGTTCTATAGTATTATCATGAACAATAGGTTACCTACACGGTTATAGTTAGAACCGTGTTTACCCATCTTAATTCATGGGCATTTTTGTGAAGAAATTATTTTAGCCTTAATGCTAGGCTTTTATAACCTTTATGTAGGCTTTGCTTTATGTGCCATGCATATTATGGCAACACTGGCTTAAGATTAGTGATGTGCGGAACCAACTAGTTTTGACTATGGATTGACAATCGATAGTTTTCTATCCGTAGTATTGGCATCGAATGGTTTTTAAAAACAAACAAGTAAATAGATAGGTTGAGTCTATCGAGTAGTTCGGTAGTGCCTATTACTACTTTAGATACTGTAGTTGCATATTGAGCCATGATAAAGTATCCATAAAAAGTTCTCTTATGATTTCATTAATTAAAAACATGAATACTACAAATTTTATGAAATTATTACCTGTGGTTGTTAAAGAATTAGAAACATTAAAACAAAATGATTATTGTTAATATATTATAGCATAACGATGATAAATATTATTCATTATGTTATTATAATATTATTATACCATGTTATATTAAAATGGAAAAAAAAATGTACATAAAATAGTTTCGTATTTGATTTTCTATCAATAAATTAAATTTTGTATAACATTATTAAAACTTTCTAGTTTTTTTAGAAGGGTTTTTTGGTCTAGCTTATTTATTACCTATTTGTTTTTTTTTTTTGGTTTTACTTAAGGGCAACACTGCTAAGTTATAATACCTAATAGTTATTAGGTCTATGTATAATACTAAACTGTTCTAATTTGTATGGTCTTCTCTTTTTCCGTTATAAAACGTAGTTAACTAATAATAATTATTAACTATTTAGTATTATCTATTAATTCTTTATTTCTTGTTACATTGTGCAGTTTCAAAATTGTGTTAATAGATTATTTATATATTTGTCGAAAATGTCAAATGAAAGTATTGAAGTACCTAGCCAACCAGACATTGAATTAGATATAATCGGTATATTAGAAACTGCGATTAAAGCCCGTAACAAAATTACATGTAGTAAAGATATTTTACTACCTTCTGCATTGGATGAAACGGAATTTAAAGATATTTTGTATAATATGGATAAAAATAAACCTATTATTGCTCAATCGAGATTGTCGAAACACGTGCAAGATAATAAACAATCAGTTCGTTCACTGATAGATAATATTAGCAAGCTGAAACATAGTTCAGGTAATATATTAGTAATTTTTTTACTTTGCAAGCTAAGAAAAAGTTTTTACTTTCAGATTTTGCATGAAGTGTTTTCTATTAACATCTGTGGTTTATCTAAATTACATAGCCGAGTCTCTCTAAAATTATTCAGCTCTTCTTTTTTTTTTTTCGGTTTTAAACTACTCATTCTTATGTCTGAAATTGCTAGTTTAAGGTTTAGGAAGTTTAAGAAAAAGTAAATGTACATTTCAGTCTCTTTGTTTTTTAATATTTGTTTTGCCCTTCCCTACTAGGGGTAAAAATTAAAAATGGTCAATTTAATTTTAAACAATTTCATAATTAGAAAGAACAGAAATCAAATTCACTTAAAATCTTCTGAGATAATTGCTGGTTCATGATATAAAATCACTCTGTATTTGATTTAAGGAAGTTTTTTTTTTATTTGTAGAACTAAAAATGAATTTTGCTATTAATGATGAAATATATGAAGATGATGAATTAAATCAAGCAATGTCACAAATGTGATAATAGTCAGAAAAATTGCTTAAAGATATTATTGATACTCAAGTTAGGTTTAATGAATGTTTGAATGATAATTCAGTGGTAGATGATGCAGAAGATGATTTAAAAAACTATATGATTTTAATACAACAAACATGTGAATTTAATAGAGGTGTAGAATCATTATTTAGTTGTGATAAAAAATTGCTACAGAAACATGTCAAAAAAGATTTGTCAATTAGTGCTATGATGAATTTAATAAGTAAGTAACTACTAATATTATTAATTAAAACTTAATTTTAATTTCTACATTAATTCTTCTATTTTCATGGTTTTCATCAACATGCGTACTTGAATTTCTCTACTCAATAATTTGATCTTTGAATATTACTTTATATTTTCATATTGTATTTCCAAACATAAACTTTAAAAATTCTGTTTTAGTCTCACTTTAATATATTTTTCTCCAAATTCCACTCTTCAAGTTTGCTTACTTGATTGACACTTGTGTAGTCTCATCTACAGAAACTGAGTTGTCTGTAAACATCATTCACTAGGATGCTTTATCATGTACTTCTTTTATAAGTTTCTTTCAAATGTGGAATGGATATTGATTCTTTGTGAATATTTACTTCCACTGTAATAATAATATATTTGCATTCAACCCATGAGAGGATGGTTAGACGGATCCTATTTTTAGTTTGGTGATTACTGATTATCTAATGGTATTATTATACATATTTGTTGGATATTTCCCATACCTTTCGTACACATGTACAATAACAGTGTTATGTGGTTTTCACAACAACAAAAGTTATTTTAGGTCTTTGTGTTGTGGTCTCTGTATAACTAGAAATTAATATTATTTGTTAATTCTTCAAGGTTTCTAATGATTTGGCATAAGGGGCATTGAATATGGTTTGTACAATTGCAATGACCAAATACAAAATATCACAAACATTTATTAGCTATTCAAAAATACAACAAATCTTCTGCAGAACTGGAGAACTTCACAACTGTGCAAACAGAAATAATAGATCCATTTACCAGAAAATTAATCACTAAACCAGTAACTAATAAACAATGCAACCATGTATATGATGAAGAATCAATTGACTTGATGTTTAAAAATAAATTATTTGTATGTTGTCCTCATATCGATTTACGAAAAAAGATCTCTTATTCAATGAAAATATTTAGCATTTAAGTGAATAATTATGAAAATATACATAGGTTAAGTAAAAGCTATATTCTTAATTAATTAAATGTTGTTTATTTTATTAAATATGAAAAATAAAAGGATTATTCATTAATAAAGAAATCTGTACAATATTCTAGAGAGTAAGAGTAGTTCTGGTTTCCACATTGATCTTTTACCAATATAATAAGTATAACCACATCTGTGATTGACTGTGCTCCACAATAATTTATTTTGGGATTAATACATAATTTCTAAACTGATAAATGTCTGTGTTTGTTATATTTAAATAGTATGGTGTCTGTTTTAATTTCTAACAAAAAATTTCAATTGCACTTTTATGTAAGGATCAAAAGGAGCTATTTTTGGTTTAAAAAACAATCAACATTAAGATATTTTATTTCCAACGTACTTATTGATACAATAAGGCAATAAGAAATCTAAGTTATCAAATTGTTTTTATCTTCAAATTATATGGAAAAGTAAACTAAAAAAAATTCAATTTTGGAGAAATTAAAATCAAAAAAGGTGATGTTTATATTATATTATGATGTTTATATACTTCAATATACGATTTTAATTGCTTTTATTTAAATATCAACTATTTTTACAATGAAGTTTTAAATTGATACAACTATATTAGTGTACAATTGTAAACAGATTAAATATTTAATACTATTTTATATACAAATTTAATAAAGTTACAATTATTAACTACAAAATACGAGAATAATCAAAATATAGATCAAATTTGTAATTTTTATCTAATTTGTACACCTAAATTTTGTGTAGCGTATGTTTTGATTAATTGATGCATTTTATTTACTTCTTCTTGGGTTAATGTCTTTTCCAAATGTCTATAAGTTATCCGGTAACAATGACTTATACGTCCAGTTTTTTTTTGTTCAAACTGATCAATTAATTTTACTTGTTCAATACATGGTCCACCATATTCTCCTACAAGTTCATAGAAGTCATTGGAACAAAATGGTTTTTCCTGAGGTAACCAAAAACTTAGGTCATTATAGCATTGTGGATATATACTAACTGGTTTATATTTTATTCGTCTATTTTTAGGTAAATTTTCAAACTGGCTAAGAAATCCTGAATCATTTGACCAAAACAAACGTATATCTGGTATAGAATAAAATGGCATTGCTAGGCGTTCTATTCCAAGACCAAATGCCCAACCAATTCGATTGCCAGCACCAACATTTTTTAAAATTTCATGTCTAATAACACCACATCCTAAAGCTTCAATCCATTGATTATTATAATACACTTCTAATTCGAATGAAGGATGTGTGAAAGGAAAAGACTCGGAAATCCAACGATATTCAATATCTTTACCAAATACTTGTTTCATCATTGATACTAATGTACTTTTTAAATGATTGGTCACTATGTTAGTTGCTTCTTTAGAATAAATGCTTTGCTTTTCAATTGAATTACTTTTTTCTGGATCAAATATATTTATATTGCATCCATTTATTATTTCTAATTCATTTGGGGTAAATATGTGTACCCCATCAGCTTGGTGAAATACAGGATAGTGAGTACGGTCAATTTCATCTCTTCTGTAAACATCTCCAAATATTATAAAATTATCCAAACCCATTTTGATTAATTCTGATTGATGGGCAGTAGCATGAGCTCGAAGCATATGACTTTTATTTAAATAATAGCTATCAGTTTTGTTTCTACTTGGATGATCCTTAGGGACTAAGAGCAAGTCAAAATTTTCATTTGTTGTTACCACTGGGCTTATTTTGTCATAAATAGAAAATATTGGATTACCTGTTCTTCCTTTGAAATGACCATAAAAAAAATCAATAATACTTTGTTTAAATAAACATATTGGATGATCTAAACGGTTGTGATTATTAATACCAACATATGATAATATTTTTGGAGTAACATTAGTGAACTCATCACGAGTATAATGTTTACCCTCTATAACTATAGATTCTGTAAGACTTTTATTTGTATTTGACGATTTCGTTCTATGATTAATCCAAACAGTTAAGTTCCGAGGGCATTTTAATAAATTATGTTTAAACATTGTTTCACATTAATTTTACGGTAAATATTTAACTAATTAGAAATATACAATATTAATATATTAAACTATGCACAAATTAAAAAAAAAAAATGAATATTTTGAACTAAACATTTCTAAAATAGTTCTAAATGTTCTAATTTTCTAAATATTGTCCATATTCACCAGCCACTGCAAAAACAATATTTATTATCTAATATCTCCAAGTTTGATATCAAATATGAGTTATCATACTACTAAATGATAATATGTAACCACAATGAACCTATAAAATTAATATATTGTTTAATGTCCTTGATAATTTAACAAAAACAAAGTTTCAATGTTTATCTTTTTCCGTTTATCGCTTGTTCATATAATGAGTTAATTACATACCTACATAGTGTTACTACGTTCCACTGTGGGTTGTAGGGTGTAGATTATTGTTTTGTACAGGGGTAAATAAAACAATATATATTTTAAGTGTTTATTAATTATGCGTGTTTAAGAACTCAAGATTATGCTGGCGATCATTTGAACGCATTGTAAGACGTACAGAAATTCGAAGACCTATATAAGCAAACTATGTTACGTCCATTTAAACATTAACTAAAGAAGTATAATGCGGTCCATTATTTTTATTGGTAAGTATCTAGTATTTATTAATAATTTAGAATGAATGGTATTCTCATTAAAATTTTTAACTAAGTAAAATTACATTGTACCTAGTTTTTAGTAACAATTTAAGAAAACAATTGTGTTATTAATGACCTGTATGCTATAATAAATACAATTTGTCCTATAATATTAAAAAATTGAGTATCATTTTATTTTATTTTTATTTTTATAAGAAATGTATAATAAAGCACAATAAGTATATACTTGTATACAAAGTAGAAAATAAATGCATTACTGGTGTAGTGTGATTAAATGGCCACCCATTAGTGACACTTAACTTAGGATTGTTTTATAAAAGGAATAAGTTAGTTGATCTCATCATTTTCAATTAGTAGTTATTAAAACATAATTAAGAGGTTTAGTTTATACTTGGTTTCATTATTAAATGTATTATATTACCAATTAGTTAAATATCAACTCTTACCTTAATTTAAAATAGGTAGGCACATTTAATAACAGATATTATAACAGAACAGTACCTAGGAATTAATAAGTTTAATTTTTTTAAAGATAAATTAAAAATTATTAAACCAATTTTTTAATTCTAAAAAAAAATCAAAAACTTTGTTTACATCTATGAATTAAGTTTTTCTAAAAATATTCTTACTATAATGCATGAGGACTATTACTCATAAAGTACAATTATTTTATACTGATAAAAATGGTTTTGTACCTATTACATCCTTCTAATACAGTATTAAATACTATAATATAGTTAATTTCATAACATTTTAGTAGGTTTAACTACTTAAATAGTAATAAATTTATTTTTAGAGATATGATTCTTTATTGTAGGGTAAGTCTATTTGTTGCAGCTTACCAAAAAAAAGCCCTTAAAGAATACCTATTACTATTTAATTATAACCAATTATATTTAATACCATTCGGTTTATCATTCAGACTTATTAATGGCTCAGGAAACTTTGTGTCTCTGATATTATGTACTCTTATAGGTTATGCACAAATTGAAATTGAAATGGAATTTGACATAATATTAGAACATAAGTTTTGATGATTGGTACTACTGTTTCTTCAGTTGGTATATCAATATTAGTTTTTCATTTTTGTCATTTTGCACAAATAAAAAAGGGTTTTAAAAAATATATTTATTTAATATTATGAGGTAAATTTAAAAGTATAATTTAAATGTAAATTCTTCTCATTAATTTATTAATTAATAAATTATAAATTAAATTTATTATTAAAAAGGGTGTTTTAGATTCCGAACGTAGCGAGGGAGCTATGGGTTTTACAATGCTATTTCTTTCTTTTTTTTTTTGTTCTATTCTGTAAAACGTTTTTAATAAACTTACTCTGATGTATTAGTGTACCAGCTTCTCTGAAAGCTCAAGTTGTCTAGATTGTACTTTAGAGAGGTCATTTTTTGATTTTCAACATCATTTTTTAAAAGCACTTAAGTGGGAAAAAAAGTAAAATTTTACAATTTCGATATTTTATAAAAACACAGACGAAATTTTCTACCAGAAAAAATGATTTGATCGAAAAATTACAAGATACTTTTTTTTGTTGTTGCCTTTTTTACTTACTTTCTTACGGTATCATCGAGAAAACTTGAGCTTTTAAGGAATTTTAATTTTTGAAAGTTTTTTGCTGTAATTCTCGGTTATAAATACACGTAGAGACTTAAAACTTGGTAATAATACTTATATTGGACTTACCTAGACCTGATACAATTTTCAAAATCATCGGACTCCTTTTTTAAGTTTTTTACAGTGGTACTTTTTTGTTTTTATATTGCAGACTACTTTAATCCTAGGAAACTTGCTCTGATGTATAAGCACCTTTTCTGAAAGTCAATTTTATCTACTTGTTAAAAACATAGGTCATTTTTTGATTTTTGAAATAAAAACGATTTACTGGGAAATGTTTTGGTTTTTCACATTTGATGAGAAAATCGGAAAATGACCGTAAAGTACCACCCCAAGAAAATTTAGTTTCAGAAAAGGATCTACATCGTATAAATCGTAGTAAGCTTTTTTCGGTTAAAAAAAGGTTCACATAAAAAAAAAAAAAAAAAAACATCTGTAAAACCATTACATTCTTCTTGTTCATTCTTCAAAATAACACAACAATCTACACTATTATAATATGGTATGGTCATATGTAGAACTGTAGAAGTCCATGTTGCGCTTTATCTAACCTGGGTTCTCTGGGCGACGTGTATTACCACGGTACTGTCTAAAAATAAATCATATAACCACTAAAACGTTTATACCTATATCCTAAAATTTTTTTGTGTTCGCTGGATGCCCCATCGTCATTATATTGTCTCCTGAAATCTTGATGTATTAATTTGCAGCCCAAATCAATATTTATTTTTTAAAACTTGATATTTTTTTCTGTAACTTTACCAAGCTAAGGATCAAAAACTTTTAAATTTTTCATATAATATTCCGGCAATGCCCCGCAAATATCTGCTGCCCGGGGTAATTGCCTTTATATTGTTCTGTTTTCGTTCATGTAAATTTTTCAATATAACCGGTTAATATTTATATAAATTACATTTTTAAAAGAACACTAAGCCCACACTAATTGTTTTGTTTCTAAAATTATACATTATACAATAGAAAAATCGATTTTTCTATTTCAAATATTGTGAGTTCTGATGTTTCTGATGAAAATATTTTTTAAAAAAATGATAATATTATTTGTGTTTTCTTAGTAAATAAATATTATTAGATTAATTATTTTGAATTTAGATAGGGAGAGTAGTAATTTATAAATAGATTACCTTGAAAAGGTCTATACTTTGTTACAGTTATTAATTTTAGGTATGCACAAGGGTAATGTTTTTTTTATGTATAATTCTATGGTCGCCGGTCAGGTAAAAAAATGTATATTTCTTAATTTTATTGTAAATCGAATTAATTATATCCTTTGTTATTAGTTAAAATGGAATTTGTAGCCAGTGGCATTCATTCCTTGTTGTTTTTTTATTCAATAATACAATAGAATGAAAAGTAATAAGACTATCATGACTACCTATATAGGTAGCTGAACTGGTTAACTAAAAATGTAAGAAAATCCCGAAGCGTAAAATATAATACAATAACCATATAGAATATACAGTTAGTAATATTCTAGTCTAATAATTATTTATAATATAGTAATTAACTTAACAACTTTTTTATGTGAAAATTAATTTTGACTCGACAGTGTAAAAAAAGAATAATAATAATACTTAATAAGATCTATTATAAAATGTACCTATCTAAAATAAATTAACATATAAACCCTAATACTGTTGATTTCAAATTGATTTTATAGTTTTTATAATATTAACTAGGGTCTATAAAAGGACTGTTTAAAATAAAATAAGATACTTTAGTAGATAATAATTATATGATTTCCAAAGCATTAATTATGTGTAAACATATATATCACTTCAAATTATTTAATTTAAACATCACAATTTACTGTATTATTTTTCAGTGTAACCTATTAAGTATTATTTTTATCTTACGTTTTATAAGATTGATATTGTTGATTTTGATATGCAAGTTAGTTATATAGGTTACCAAGTTACCTATATCAGGGTTTAGTATTCGTTGATAAAGTCAATTAGGCACTTTTGTATCATTTGCAGTCATTTTCAGTGATTCATGCTAGAGTAAAATGTATTTTTGTTGGTCATTGTATTACAAAATAACATGTATTTAGTATATGTACTATGTAATAAAACAATTAATATATTTTGTATAGGTATGTAAAAAAAAAAAAAAATGATTTTAACGCAGTATATTACCTAATTATAATTTAAATTATAGTTGAGTACTCGAGTAGATAAAGCTAAAAAAAAATATTTTTAACTGAATTTCAACAAAACATTTTATAAAAAGCTTACAAATAGCTTAAATATTTTGAAAATTTTACCATATCTAGAAAAGGCAAATATAAGTTTTCTGTCCAAATTTCAAGTCTACAAATATTTTATATGAATTACAAGTAATAAAAAAATTGAAAATAATAAAAGCATTATTTTTGTAAATTTTACATTTTTCTTATGTTTATCCAGGTTTTTCCCAGATATTATGAAACCCACTTAGAAAATTAAAAAATGACTTTCTTGTTGAAGTACCATTTAGACAATATTCCTTTCTGAAATAGTGCTATAAGCACATATCGGGGGCAATATTTCAGGTAGAAATTTTTGTTACAATATATATATATATATATATATGTATAAAAATGTTAACAAATTACTTAAAAAATTAATGAATGTGGAAATGTAATTTTTATCTTATCTAGGTATTAAAAAGTTTAAAAATAAGATTATCTATGTCTCTATATTTTTTAAAAAATTGTTTGTGGACATAACCCGTTACCAAATGTTCATATTTGTATTAATTTAATGGTTTTTTTTTGTAGTTTCTGCATGATTATTAACTCTAACTTATATTAACTTAACTTATGTTAATATATTTTCATATAAATTAATTTGCTGGAAAAAATTGTGTTGGTCTTTAACTGCAATACCTACAATTTTTCCAATTTAAAATCTTAAAAACCAATCATCTAACTCTATAAGTTTATTTGGTAAATTTTTTGATAGTAAAATGTACATATTGATAATGTAGTTTTTCATTTAAATATTTTTTTTTATGCAATAATTTGTACTAAAATAACCAAGAAAATAATTTTAATTGTAGCATATGTTTTTTTTTTGGATTTATCACGAATACAGCCACTACGGCAAGATTCATTTCTGATAATCTTAAAGGATCTCTACACAAAATTTGTTATCTTTGTTTATCTTGCTTGTAACATAGCAACTTAAACATTTTGCACCTCAATGATTGTGTCTCTCTGGTTATATAGAGTAAAATGACCATGCATTATATAATGTCTTAATGAACTGTTAGTAGTTAAAATTAAAATAAATTAAAACACTCATTTTTTCATGTTAAAAATGATTAGGTACAGGCATTGTAATATACTCTTCTTTGTAAAATAATAGATCCATTTTCTTTACTCAATCAGAGAGTGACAATTATTAACATATGAAATATATTTTATTAATATTATTAATGGGTTAAAAAAACATTTACACTGGACGAACACTAAAATTAAAAAAATCTGTCTTAAGATAATGAGGACTAGTGCAGCTACTGTTGTAGGTATTTAATGTATACTTGTAAGCAACGATAAACCATTACTAACGGGAAAAACGATTCTAAGCAGATTTTAGTTGATAATGATGTTTTGTCAACAATACAGTAAAATCCACTTAACGAGGACACCATATCAAGGGGACAAATTGGCATACCTAGTTGGCACAAACTATCAGTTATAAGGGAATTTTTTTCCTATTAGCACATAGGTATTCCCCGAAGATAAGAGTCCACTAGCCAAAATTATTCGGTTTATCAATTAATTTATAATAAATATGTGTAATAAATCAATTAATTAATACTACTACTACTGTTAAATAATATTTGCATTGTAAATGGGAGCAAAATTGTTGATAGATAAGTTGTCAACAGAAAAAAAAAATTACCATTGTTCAACCATAAGCTTCTTCGCTCCATTCAGAATTTAAAAAACCTAATAATTATGAACAGATTAAAAATCTATTTAAAAATTTAGGTTTATTTAATCCTGGGTACTACTGGAAGTACAAAAACTAATTTTTACTATCTTGTCCATTAGGTGACAGTGGCGATAAATCTATGATGTCCTCTTAAGTTTTAAATATTATATTTTAACTAAATATAAATCTAATTTTAAGTCTATTTTTAGTAATAATTAATTTCATTGTTTTAGTCCTTATAATATGTGTGTTTTATTTATTTTTATTTTTATCTTGTTAGAACTAATTTCTTTTCATAATAGGTTAGAGCTAATAGTTACTTTATTTTTATTATTATTAATAAATTTCAAATTATATGATTTTTTCTTTTTCAGTAAATTTATTTGTGCATTTGATATGTACAAATACACAGAGATCTGGCAGCTTTGATAGAGAAGGATTTTTCAATAATTCATCATGGTTGCAATTATATCCTCCTATTTCATTGTACAAACATGTAGGATTCAGCTTCAGAACATGTTCTGGAGGCAGGATATTTTCTCAATATGCTGTTGATATGCGTATCTCAGTAGATGTTCTTCATGATGGTTTATCATTTAAAACATTTGTTCAAAACAGACATTATGAATCTAAAATCCAAGGAGATTTTTTTGATAATTTGTGGCATAATTTTAACTTGATTTATAAGCTTGGCGAGTTAACAATGTTTATTGATGGTTTACAACAGGTAAATATTAACTATAATATATTAGTTGTAATAAAACAACTTTTAAAATCTACAAATAATAAATATTTTATTTCTTTAGGTTATAGCAAATTCTACATTTCGTTCAGACATTTTTAATGTTGATAAGTTAAATGATCAGTCAGTTTTAAAAGTGGGAGATGGTTTTGAGGGTTGTTTATTAGAAGGGCCAAATTTTATTTTTAATTCATCTTTAAATCAAGTTCATAAAGTTGTTTGGGGCCATTGTCCTTTAAATAGTCAGTCATGTATGTATTGTAAAATACATTTTAAGTTCTAATTTAGTGTATTTTGTATTTATTTATTTTTTACATACTGCAGGTACAGAGATTGATTACTGTTCTCATGCGCCTTGTATGACACATGGAGTATGTGTTCCAAGACAAAACAAGTATCACTGTATTTGTCATCCCAGATATTCTGGAAATAATTGTGAAATTGATAATGGTATGGTGAATCATAGAATTTTTAATAGTCATACATCAGAGTTTATACCTATTTTATTACAGGGTCCTTATGTGCTAAACAGAATAATCGTTGTATCAATGGTGATTGTGAAGAAATAAAAGATGGTGAAGGTTTTATTTGTCATTGCAATAAAGGATTTACGGGTGATCATTTTTTATTTTTATTTAAAAAGTAAAAGTTAAATGTACAATTTACATTGAATTTTTTTTACAGTTAAAATTTAAATTATTTAAAGAAAACTATGAAAGTGTCTATAATTAAAAAAAATGTGTTATTTATTTTATTTCTTAAATATTAATTGAATTTAGTATATTAAGACAATAAAAAATGTCTGTACTAATTTATTTTAATTATTTATATTAATGATTTTAATAATATTTCAATTTAGGTAAATTTTGTGAGATTGAATTATCTGCTCGTGTTTGTGATAATAATCCATGTAGAAATAACGGTACATGTAAACTTTTATCTGGGGCAAAAAGTTATGAATGTAGTTGTGCACCAGGTATATTCTATACTATATTTATTATAACAATAAAATGTATATTTTAATTTAAAATTTGTGTTCATTATGTATTGTAGGATTTAAAGGAGATGACTGTGAAATAAATATCAATGAGTGTTTGTCGAGCCCTTGTCAACATGGTAGTACATGTATTGATGGTACGAATAATTACATGTGTAGTTGTGGTAAAACAGGGTAAGTTTATGATACAAATTGATTTGTACAATTTTTATACTTATTTATCTAATTTCAGATATGAAGGAATGAATTGTGAAATAAATATAAACGAATGTGAAACAAATCCATGTTTTAATCAGGGTGTATGTTTTGATAACTACGGGAGTTATACTTGCCAATGTCAACCAGGATTTGGGGGAATCAATTGTGAAATAGTAAATTTTTTATATATTTTATAAAATATTGTGTAATTTAATTTAATGTGTTTTTAAAGGATTTAAATGAATGTATATCAAATCCTTGTCAAAATGGTGGACACTGTAGAGATCAAGTTGGAACATATGAATGTCGATGTCCTCTAGGATATTTTGGTAGAAACTGTGAAATTGATGTTGACGAATGTGAATCTGCTATTTGTCCAGCAAATTCTATCTGTGTTGATGGTGTTGCATCCTATACTTGCCATTGTAAATCAGGATATGCTGGTAAACAATTATTTATCAATACATAATATAAAACAAATTTATTTTATTTATTTACATGAGATAGATACATTTTTTTAATCACATTTTAGATTCTGAGTAGAGCAAGGAATGCATTGGTTTTACAATGATGTTTATTGTTATTTCTTTTCTGTGTACAACTTTTCTAAAGAAATTTTTTTCTGATTTTCTAGTATATCACTTTTTCTGAAAGGAATTCTGACTGGGGTAATACTTTAAGGGGGTAATTTTTTGGTTTTCCTAAAGGTTTTCATAATAAACAGGAAAATATACAAACATTTTTTTTTTTTTTAATTGTAAATATTACAGCTTTTTAAAACATGTATAACCGAACTTCACTCAGAATCGTTTATTGTTAGCAATGATTACTCTTTGTTTACAGATACATACATACTTATATACATATATTCAATTTCCCCTTTACCTTCCCAATTTCTTACCTACAACAGTAATCCATCCATCGTGCGAAGTATGTCCGTTTGTTTTCGGGACTTGCTATATTTGTAATTTTTTACATAATGACTAATAGAATAGAATATAATTCTGACAATAGTATATATATGTTAATAACTTAACCTTTGAGATATTACATATTCCTTCATCAATAATGACAATTAGTGTAATGTCAGATTATGTGATAACAATTCTTATGAAGTATGATTGGTTACAAACAAATACAAATTTACTCATAAATGTTATGTAAAGTAATTTTTAAATTCTTGTATTTTAAGAATTTAGATATTTATTTTGTTGCTTGTTTTTAAATATTCGTATTTTAGTACAATATTAAATATAATTAAACTTTGCTATAAAATTGTTTGAAGCCAAATCATTTAATTATAACTTATAATGTAATAACAGACTGATAATAAGAGCATAATTTAAACCCTAATCAACTATCACAAAATGGTTCATTAAGTAATTATGGACTATTAAGCTTAAAAATGGAAGTGTAATCACTTTTATGCTTCTTTACTTTACCTTCTTTATTCGATGTCCAGTCTATTGTTACATTTCTCTCTATAAGTCTTGTGTCTTTCCATCTCACCTTTGTCCTTTCTAGTGTTCATTAATGGTTTATTTGTTTTTTAATACCTAATCATTTGTTCTCCACACATATTCTAATTATTAGAAACTTAAATACAAAAAAATATATTTTATATTTTGTTGTTTTTAGGTTAAATAAATATTTATTCAACAAATTTTAACAATTTAATTGATTTTTTTATTATACCTACACATTTTCATATTTTATTAAGTAAATATGTACATTTGAAGGTGTATATTTTTTTTTTTTTCTATAAAGTGTTGACCATTATTTTCTTGTACTGTTGTATAGATTTAACAATATTTTATAAAAAGAAATATATAAATTTAAAAAATTTATAACCATGTAATATAAACTAAGATTTATATATATTTAGTATATTTATATATACTATATATATATATATATGTGCATGCATATTTTAAATAATCAATGCTGATTAGTTATGTGATAAATTTAACATGTAGGTAACTAAAATTAAATGTTAACAGGAACAAATCAAATTTTATGCAAAGTTGCAACTGTAATCATACTTTTATATTTTTAAATTTTTATTTATAAACAGTATTATTAAATTGTATGTATGATTATTTATAGGTACTCCTCCAAATTGCACAGAAGTAACAGTTTGTAGTACTAATCCTTGTCAAAATGGAGGTTTATGTCTTTTATTGCCAAACGGTCAGTTTAATTGTTCATGTTCTTCAGGATACACAGGTATTTATTTATGTTAAAACTATGTTTCTGCAGTAAAGATATTTCTGAATTTGTAATCAATATAAAATTAGTTTACATTACATATAATATATATATATATATATATTTATTATACTTTAACTAAGCATTTAAAGTTTCACTGTCATTTTTTAGTGTTGGTAGTTAGTTTGTTTGTTTTACATTTTAGTATAAAGTATAATTGCACCAAATTGCATGGGTATTTGTTTTGATATAATTATTACAGGCGCTTTTTGTGAGCATGGTAATATAGTGGCTCGTTCGCATGCTGATGATGTTTGTGTTCTCATGCCTTGTCTGAATTCTGGCACTTGTATATCTCAAGGATCGAATTATGAATGTAAATGCCCTGCTGGCTTTACTGGTCGAAATTGTGAAATGACCATGAAATGCAATGCTGACCCTTGTCAGCATGCTGTATCTTGTCGTGATTATGTGAGTTAATTTAGTTAGTTGTACAATGTTCAGACATTCAAAATCTATTCAGATATATTGTTTTTCATGCAACGGTGGCTATCATTTATAAATATCTTTAACTTGGGATTGTAAATTGATGTCTAGAAATGAAAATGTTTATCATTGCTTTTTGTATGAAAATATATATGATCAAAAGGACAAAGATATTGTAGTAATAGTCAAAAAGTAGCAAAAATTTGTTACAGTATTGAACTATAAAATACCGAAAATTGTGCTTTAAAAGTTAAAAATTGTACTAAAAAATTAACTTATTTTTTAAAACTAGAAAAATTTGGCCTAATTTTCATCATATTTACAAAACGATAAAAGAATTAGTGTTTTTATAGTTAAAATTAGTGTCCACACGAAATTCACAGATTGTCAAATAATCATGCTTTATAAATTATCTTTGTATTAAATATAATTTTATCTATATGCATTGTAAATACAAGAAATCCAATAATTTTAAAAATAATCAAACTATCATTTTGACTATACCTTCAATAATGTTAATAAGTCATTTAAACAAAATATTAATGTATAATATATGTATACTTCTAATATTGTACATAAAATAACATTGAAAAAATAGTTAAAATTAATTTATAAATTAGTGAAATAGACAAAATTGCAATTAAACTGAACAAATTACGGAAATCGCAAACAATTTCACTTCAAAATTTAAGATTTTAATTTGTACTTCCACCCATTTAAAATTTACTTAGCAATAAATTTGACCAGTGAAGGAAAGGTGCAAACGCAACAACATCTGGGCCCTAACTATCAATATCCTGTGATATACTTACTATTTAGTGTAAAGGAACAGTTTCATTTTTAGATAGCCGCCACTGCTTTTATAGACACAAATTCTTTTATTTAAAAATCACTGCACATAACATGTTGTATGGTATCACCAAAACTATTTTATCACTTGTAGGCTGGTGGGTACCGTTGTGATTGTGAACCCGGTTGGTCTGGGCAGCAATGTAATCAACGTTCTAGTGATCCTGGTCATGCTTGCGGTCCAAACACTTGTGCTCATGGTGGGACTTGCACTTCATTAACTGGACAAGCTGATTCTTACCATTGTGAATGTCCCCCTGGTTTCACTGGTAATAATAGAACTACTGTAAAAAAATATTAATTATAAGTACCCTGGTTTTTTCATACATAATTATATATATAAAAAAATTCTATAATTGAATTATTATTGTGATTTAATAAAATTAATAATATAAAAATTAGTGTTAGTAAACTTTTTATAAATTTTAATGAACCCGTTAAATTAAATTATACTATCACATATTCATAACCAAATAATTAAACAATATTTGACATTAACAACCAATAACATATATTAGTTTACCTTATATTGTTTTTCAATAGTATTGGTTTATGTTTATAAAAATACAATATATTTTTATACTATATAAACCATAACTATAATAATAAAATAAAAATATGATGAATTTCTATTATCACTTACACTTATCTTTACTAATTAGCAATAATAACTATTAATTTTTTGTCATTTTATTTAGTGTAATATTTTTAAGTCACTTGAACACATTTGTCCTATTATTTTAATTGAACATTAATGTAATTTAAGTAATTTATTGAAGAATAATTTTTTTTATAGAAATTTATAAATAAAATAATAAAAGAGTATAAAAGTTATAAATACCATCAAAAATATATTTTATTATTCTTCCTTCTTTCAAAGCAGTAGTATATCATACACATTTTATTATATATTGTATTATATTCTTGTTTAAAGTACCCTAAACATAAGCTATTCAATGTCAATACAAGTTTAAAAAATGTACATATTTAATGCATTTATTATTATAATTATATAATTATCTAAATCTATTAATAGTAGAATGTAAAATATTGTTAAAGGGCCACAGTGACACCCCTTTTTTGGCTCAAAAATATGTCCTCTATGAAAAACTTGTTGTCAGATTTTGATAATTACTTTTTTTGTTGGAAAAAAATTTCATAAAAGTTTCATTGATCTTTGTTTTTTAATATTTTCATTTCAAATTTTATTATGATACGTTTAAAAAAAAAGGTTTAATATTTTCTGCAACATTTTTTACAATTATTTGAAATCAAATGAAAAATCTGAGTTCAATGTGATTTGTAAAATTTTATTGTCTATCAGTTTAAAAAAATGAGTTGTCCCTATTCCCACAAACTCATTTTTGTCCGAAAAAATGATTGTACCTCCCCCCACTAAATGGGGATTGGCAATAAATAAGTGGAAAGTCTTTTAGTTTAGAATTAAAATTTTAATAATCATTTTTGAATAAAAATATTCAAACCGTTACTGGACCCCTAATAATAATTATACTCATTGAGTATTTTTCATTAAGGGTAAAATTTGACTTTATTATCTTATTCTTCAATGTATTGTATAAATAGTTTTTATATTTATAATTATTTTTCAACTAAAAGTGATTTTGTCATCTAATACTTAATTGTATCTATTTGTTTTAAAAATGTACCAGTTGTATCTCTCTCTAAGAAAAACATGTTATAACATGAATTTATTTATGTAATTAAATTATTATAGGACCAACCTGTCAAATAGATATTGATGAATGTATGTCCAGACCATGTTTGAATGGAGGTACATGCCATGATCTTATTAATGGTTTTCGATGTAACTGTACTGATAACTACATGGGTGCTTATTGTCAATTACCATTTGATGTGTGTGCTAAAAATCCCAACCCTTGTTTAAATAATGGTACTTGTCTCCATAAGACTTCATCTCTGAAAGATTATTACTGCATGTGTTCTCAAGGTAAAATATTTTTTAATTTTCTTCAAATTGTTTAAAATTTTACGTTATTTATGATATTATTGAAGGTTTTGAAGGAAAAAATTGTGAAGTTAATGTCAATGAATGTCTCATGGTCACATGTCCAATGGGAAAAGTATGTATTGATGGTATCAATACTTATGAGTGCAAGTGTCCCGAAGGATATACTGGGGAAAATTGTTCAAAGTTATTGACTGATTGTCGAGACCGTCCCTGTAGAAATAATGCCACTTGTATAGAAAATACTGATAGTTATACTTGCCGTTGCACTTCTGGTTTTACAGGTACAATTCATACTTATTAAATATGTGTTAAAAATAATTATATTTGAAATATGTTTAGGTAAAAATTGCGATCAAGATATAAATGAATGTGAAGTTAACAAAGATGTATGTAATTATGGAATTTGTATTAATACTAATGGTTTGTTAGAGTTTTGTTTGAATAATATATATTATAAATACTTTTATTATGTTTTATGTAAATTATATTAATTTTAATTATTCATTTTAGGAAGTTATCAATGTTTTTGCCGTCCAGGATTTTCTGGTGACAATTGTGATGTTGATTTTGATGAATGTTTATCTCAACCTTGTTATAATGGTGCTACATGTGAAAATAGAATTAATGGTTTTAATTGTATTTGTCCTCCAGGGTTTAATGGTATGTTTTGATGACATTTTAATTTTAAAATATACTATTATTATTTTAATATTATACTATTAATATTTATTTAACTATTTAATTTTTATATTTATAGGTAAAATTTGTAGCATCGATGTCGATGAATGTAATTCTAACCCATGTATGAATGGTGCTACATGTATAGATAATGTTGCATCATTTACATGTTCTTGTCCTATTGGCTTAACAGGAAAGCTCTGTGAAATAAATATTAACGATTGTGAGGTCAGTATATTATATTTAATTTTAATTTTTTACAATATACTATTAAATTAAATTCAAAATATTTCAATTAATACTTATATGATTCATAGTCTTCCCCGTGTCAAAATATGGGTGCATGCATTGATGGAATTAATAGTTACGAATGCAACTGTACTAATACCGGCTTTGAAGGTAAAAATGATAAATAATTTAATTCTTATAGTTAGTTAATGTTTTATTATTATTTTTAATAATATATCCTTCTTTTTTTTAGGAAATCACTGTGAAATGAATATTAATGATTGTATACATAATCCTTGTGTAAATAATGGTACCTGTGTAGATGGAATAAAAGACTATTCTTGCAAATGTTATACCGGTTATACAGGTAATAACAATATTCTTAAAGGATCAATTTGATTTATTCAATTATTGATTTACAATATTTTTACTAGGAAAAAATTGTGAAGTTGATATAAATGAATGTGAGAGTAATCCTTGTCAATTCGGAGGTACATGTCTTGAACATTCTAATCTATCATTATACTATCAACCAGATAAAAAAAACTTGTCATCAATATTTCATCAAGATTTTAATTATGCTACTGCTAATGGGTAAGTAAACTAATATAAATAAGGTAATTGTAATTGCATCTTTTCATCTTTTGTAACATTTTTTATAAATACATTTCTCAAATGATTTGATTTTTTAAAAAAAAATAACTATAATAATATTATTTTAAAAGGATATATCATAAGTATGTAATCTAACTAAATGTTTAAACACTCAAATACTTGTTGCTTTTAAAATGATTTACATTATATTATTTTTTCATTTTCATTTAAAAAATGTTTTTTAGATTTGAATGTCTATGCTTACCTGGTACGACAGGTATTAAATGTGAGATTGACATTAATGAATGTGATAGCAATCCATGTCGCTGGGGCAGCTGTGAAAATCGAATTGGTGGTTATGCTTGTTTATGCGATGAAGGTTTTGAAGGCGTGTATTGTGAAATTGAAATTGATGAATGCGAAAGATTTAAGTATGCATATTTCTAAAAACATTTAACTTTTAAGTTACTTATGATTCAATTTTTGTTATGTTAAATAATTATTTCTTAGGCCTTGTGATCATGGTACTTGTGTTGATCGGCGTGCTGGTTACTATTGTGATTGTACACCAAAATATGGAGGTAAAAATTGTTCTGTAGAATTGGTTGGATGTCAAGGTCCACATACTTGTCTAAACAATGGTACTTGTCGACCATACTTGGTTGATGAAACTGAACATCGCTATAATTGTACATGCCCTTATGGTTTTCATGGTGATATTTGTGATAAGGTAATTGCTATAAAAAAAAAAAATAATAATAAAAAAAATAGATTAACTAATTTATTTTATTTTAATAATTGTGTTTAGACAACTACTATGTCATTGACTGGCGAGTCTCGTATTGTAGTAAACACTACTAGAGATGAAGGTTATGACATATCATTTAGATTTAAAACTACATTACCAAGTGGTTTATTAGCAATCGGTGGAGGTTCAACATTTTATATACTTGAGTTGGTTAAGGGTCGTTTAAATTTACATTCTAGCTTGTTAAATAAGTGGGAAGGTGTATTTATTGGTTCTGAGTTAAATAATAGCCAATGGCAAAAGGTAAGTTATATTAAAATAGTTAATTGTATTCATATTCTAATTTACTTTGTTTATCATTAAGGTTTTTGTTGCTATAAATTCCTCACATTTAGTACTGTCTGCTAATGAAGAGCAAACTATTTACCCTATTAACTTAAACGAAGGAGCAAATCCTACACACACTAGTTTTCCTACTACTTACGTTGGTGGAACCATATCAAATTTAAGACTTTTACCTCATGGACCTCCATTTTTTATTGGTTGTATTGAAAATCTTCTTATAAATGGACAATGGGTTAGAAATTCAAATAAATATTAAAGAAAATTACACATTAATTACCATTTTAAAATTTCAGGTTTTACCTGTTGAAAAAGTAGAAACTATAGGGTTAACTAATGTTGATATTGGTTGTCAAAGAAACGATCAGTGCTTCCCTAACCCATGCCACAATAGTGGTCATTGTACTGATTTATGGCAAACATTTAGCTGTACATGTGAAAGACCATACCTTGGAAATACTTGTCAATACAGTAAGATTTATTTTATTTATTTCAGTTCTAGTTTTTTCTTTTTTTTTTTCTTAAGTAAATTCACTCAATATATTTTTATGTATAATAGGTTTCCCAGCTGCAACGTTCGGTCATGAAAATATCACTAATGGTCTTGTTACTGTAACTGTATATCCTATTACTAAACGAGCTGTTAGAAACATAGTTGATATTTCAATGTTTATAAGAACACGCCAAACAAGAGGAGCTATATTTTATTTAGGTTCTATGCCTGGTATGGTTACATTTCCTGAAGAAACGCATATTGCAGCTGAACTTGAAGGCGGGGAGTTATTAGTCCGAATACAATTTAATGCAACTCCTGAATCATATACTGTTGGTGGTGTTAAATTAGATGATGGACATAATCATTTAATACAGGTAAATCTAAGGATCTAAAGTTAGCTTATATTATTTATTTTCAATAAGATATAACCATTGTTAATTAGATGTTTTACTAATTTAAAAATGTACTTAGGTTGTTCGTAACATAACATTAGTGCAAGTAAAAATTAATGGAACAGAATATTTTAGAAAAACTATTAGTGCAACAGGTCAACTTGATGTTCAAGTGTTATACTTGGGAGGTTTTCCGTCTTCTAAACCACCAAGACGAGATGTATCAGATGCTCCCCCCACAGTAATGGACATGAATGTATTACCAAGGCCTAATACTATTGAAAGACATATTCGTCAAACAACAGCTGATAAATTTGAAGGTATACCTCATTTCAAAGGAATCATTCAGGATGTTCAGGTAATTTAATTTAAATATTAACAATGCTTATAAATAGAAAAACTTATTATATAATATACAATATATATATATATATATTCAGGGCTGGCTTAAAGACAGTCAAAGATGTGCATTTGCACAGAGCCCCACACTTAGAGACCCTGTGTCTTGGTCACATTAAAATAGATAGATAGTAATTTCATATGATTATTTAAGGAAAAATAAATTAAAATTATGAATTAAGAAAAATTATTAAGAACGCTTGATATTATAAGGTGAAAAAATAAAAAAGTAAAATCTTTTATTGAGATTTATTATTTATTATTTTTATTGTAAAAATGAATATGTAGAGTTAAGATATTTTCTAATCCGTTTCCGTATATTATATTTACCAAAACATATAAAATTAGTTCAAATATATTTATAGTTCTTATGCCTGCAAATAATATAAAAAAAAAAAAAAAATAGAATTTGATTATCGTTAATACCTCAGGCGATATTGCAGTAGATATTTATATCTTGGAAAATATTAATTTTTTTGAGAAATGAGTTTTTTATGATGATGCTACATTACTATTTTTATTTCACTCTTATTTTTAGGCGTGAAACAGGTACCTACTTTTGATTTTTAAATGACAATTTTTATTAAAAATTCCTTAAATAGATGGAGTCATGGTTAAAATAATTTTTGGTGTTGATACTTTTGATTTCCGTTAAGCCATTAACAAGGTATTCCACTTGCTCCACATTATTATTCACTTATTTTAAATGATTTGTTTTATTTTATTCTACTGTGTTTTACTGTATTTTGACTTATCATTTACGCAAAAAAAAAAAAAAAATACAAAATTGCTGTTTAAATTTACAAGCTCTGGAAAAACGACTATTATGATTACATTAAATTCATACCATTATTATTATTTGTTTATGAAAAATTGAAAAAATATTGTTGCTGGATAATATTATATAAAGTTAATTTTTAATTGAAATTTTAGATAAGTAATGGATCCCAAATCATGTTTGTTGAGTTTTATCCCTTGACTGTCCCAAATAAAGAATTAGCTATACCAAAATCATTTGGAGTTGTTACATTCAACCAAGATGAAGTTCTACAAGGAATCTTGTCTGATGACACATGTCGTTCAAATCCTTGTCACAATGATGGAGTATGCTCTGTAACATGGAATGATTTTACATGCAACTGTACAGTTGGTTATAAAGGAAAACAGTGTCAAGAAATGGAATTTTGTCAACTTCAAGATTGTCCTAAAGGCAGTCAATGCCGAAATTTAAATCATGGATATGAATGTGTTGCCAATGTTACGTTGGATGGTCAAAATACTACTGAGCCACTCTTACAATATAATTTTGTTAAAGGACAACAAGCTATTTCTTTAACTCATATTGAGGTAAACTATCGAACAAAAACTGGTGGTACAATTATGTATGTTTCTAACAAGAAAAAGAATAGTGATCCTGAGTTCGCATTTTTCACTATGATTGTTAACAAAAATCAGGTATAAATATATTATTTACAATATTCTTAATATCATAGTTTAAAATATTTATTTGTGTTACAGTTTACTATTGTATGGAAATTAGAAAAAGGAGGTTCTATAATCACAAGGCATATACATAATTTAGATTCTGATTGGACGACTGTTGTTTTTAAATTAGCTGATAATAAAATTCAAGGTGGTTTGGTTGGTGCAATTGATGATCCAAATCAGTTTATTGTTGCTGGAAATTTCTCATTGTCAAATTGGATTGAACTGGTATCCTTTAATCCCATTCTTATAGGTATACATTTTTGTCCATATAGTTTAAATTTTTATATTAAATTGATCATTAACATCATTATGATTTGATTGTCATTTATTTACATCTAAATAGTTTAAATATAGGATTTAACAAGTATTTACTATTATATATGAGGTTATGGATACAAACTATTCAGAATGATACTTCTATCATTGGACACTCATTATTTGCATACTGTTGACTTTTTAAAAAATATTTTTTTGATAATTTTAGATCTACGTATTTTTTAAACAATAAATTGTCAAAGTATTTTTTTTTTTTTTAAAAAAAAGTACACTTTTTGAAATAATGAGTGTTCAACTATATGTATTATATATGTAATTATACTGTATTTAAAAAAATATTGTTATTACAGGAAGAGGAGAAAACTATTATGATACATCAGGAAATAATGTAGAACATGCAACATATATGACAGATGCCGACTCAAATTCATTAGATATGGTTGATTCTGAGACAGCTTTGAACTTTGAAGATACAATACAACATGATGTAGCTTCTGTTGGAGCATTATATAAGGTATTTGTGCTTAATATATATAGTATATTATATAAAATATAAATATATAATTTATTATTGTTACTGTTTAGGGTTGCCTTGGGGAAATACGAATTGGAGATTTATTGTTACCTTACTTTACTCCATCCCAACTGAATACCACCAATCAAACCGATAACTTTATTATGTCATCACATAATTCCTTCACAGAACATTTTGATTTAGGTTGTGTACTTTGTTATGATTCCGAGTGCAAAAATAATGGAAGGTATAGTTTTTTAGTTATAAATTGTCTTATTTGTTGTCTGTAATTTTTAATTGTATTAGGTGTAAAAAAGCTACAGAGTCTTATGTTTGTGAATGCCAACCTGGTTATGAAGCTGATGACTGTTCTACAAATATCAATGAATGTTTGTCTAATCAGTGCAAAAATGAAGCAGTGTGTATTGACGGTATTGCTAATTATACATGTAAATGTAATCCCGGTTGGACTGGAACATTGTAAGTTACATTTAAAATACTGAATTTAAATTAAATAATATCAATACTTTTTTTTGATTAGTTGTGAAATTGATATTAATGAATGTGAATCAAGCCCATGCCAAAATAATGGTATTTGTATTGATAACCTTGGTGCATTTAAATGCAACTGTACTGACGAATATGAAGGAGTTACGTGTGAACGGGTAAAACTAGTAACTTGTGAAAAAAAACCATGTAAGAATGGCGGCATGTGTATTAATACACCAGGTTAGTCTTAATACCAATGAGATAATATATACAATTACTGAAGCATAATTCAGCTTAATAAATTAATATAATTTTGGTATGTTAAAGATGCATCTACTGGTAATAATTACACGTGTTCTTGTGTAAATGGTTTTTTGGATACTAATTGTGATAAAGGTTTCTGTGATGTTAATCATTGTCAAAATAATGGTTCATGTAACAGCACGGTATGCCATTATAATTTATGGCTTGTATGAGAATAAAAATAATATAACTGAATTTATTTATAGATATCTCCATTCTGTAACTGTCCAGTAGGCTTTAAAGGAAATATTTGTGAGGAAAATATTGATGATTGCTTAGATAATGGTTATCAATCAAAATGTAAAAATGGTGGTCAATGTATTGATGGTATAAATGAATACACATGTAATTGTACAGACACTGGTAAGATCATTGAATAAACATACTTATTCAGTTTGTTTTATTAATATTATTTTTTTATGTGAACCTTCCAATTATTTAGGCTATACAGGTGAGGACTGTCATATAGACATTGATGAGTGTTCTGATCTTAATGTACAATGTGGTCACCAAGGTGAATGTGAAAATACGGAAGGTTCTTTCAAATGCTTATGCAAAGATGGATTTTGTGGTCATTATTGTGATCTAATAAACCCGTGTTTTCCAGTAAATTATTTTCAATTAATTAATTTTAAATAAAAAAATAACAATTTTTATTATTTTTAAGAAATCTCCGTGCTCTAATGGTGGTACATGCCAAGAACATTGTACTGATGTGATTTACTATGAATGTCAATGTGCTAATGGTTTTGTGGGAAAAAATTGTACCGAGGTAATATGAATTATTTAATTATTTTTACATTACAAAGTAATATTATTGCATATAAATAACAACTATTTTTAAAAATTAATCAATTTAGTTAGTTTATTTATTTGTCATTTAACTATAGGTTTTATTTATTTTGATTTAAAATCATAAAACATTTAATCTATAATATAGTATATATAGCACAGACCTAAGCCTATATTTTTTTTCTCGGCTTACTGCTTATAAATTATTAAAATTAATTAAGTAAAATTAATTAAATAAACACTTACAAATACAAAATCGAAAGAATATAAAGTGTGGAATGCTATTTATAATTTTAAAATAAATATTTGCAGTTTATATAGCTTTGATAGGAGAAAATCTGGAATAAGCTTGATAAATGGAGAGAAAGAAGAGGATTATGGATAAGTAGAAATAAACCAGAGTATGAGTTTAGAGGAAAAGGGCAATACAGTTAATGACAATAAACAGTTATAGGCAAGGTTGATAGTTTTAAGTACCTAATGATATCAGTGACCATTTAACCAACATCGAATTAGTGAAATATTTTATTAAAATAGACAAGAAAAATGTTTCAATAAAATCATCATTGATCTAAAAGTATCAACATTAACCTCGCACCTCCCCTGTCAAGTGCTTCACAGTTTGGAGCCTTATATTATATACTTACATAAATATTAGTGATATTACATATATTAATACATATTATTAAACTAAGATTTACATTTAATTCATTTAATTATTGTAATTTACTAATTATTATACAAATTTTGTATTAATTATTTTAGATGCCTGAGACTGTTCCAGACTACGCAAATATAGCATTGATTGTTGGTCCGATATTTGCTATACTGCTTATTGGTGGTATAGGTAGTTTGTTAGTTCTTTTAATGATGGCTCGTAAAAAAAGAGCTACCAGAGGTACATACAGCCCTAGCTGTCAAGAATATTGTAATCCTAGAGTTGAATTAGACAATGTACTGAAACCTCCACCAGAAGAACGACTTATTTAATTATTGATTTTACAACCACATATAATTTTCTTTTTACTTACATTTAACAGTTTATTTTTAATTCCATATTAATGATCTCCTTATTTTTGTTTAGCGGCCATTTTGTATACTTTCTATTTGATTTTTTTCAAGTTAAAATATTTTCAGTATTCATTTTTTTATTATTTTGAACAATCATATAAGTATTATTTTTGTAGTATTATCCACCCCAAAATGAATCTGTATTTGGTTTTATTCTTTTTTATTTAAAAAAAACATTTTTGTATGCTTCATTATGTTATAATTTGAAACTTAACTTAACTGCATATTTTTTTTTTATAAAAAATACAACAAAATCATAATTGTGATTTGTTGATAAAATATTTTAAATGTTTTGACGCAAGTCAGTTTGTGGGTTTTTGAGTGATACTTAGTTTATGTACCTAATTAAAGCGAGTCTATTATATATTATTGTTACACGTGACACTTTTCAATACAAAAATTTTTTGTATTATATTGTAATTTTATGTACTTTAAAAATAATTAAGTATATATAGAATTAATATTTTATTTTTTTTAAGTCGGAACAAAATTTTTACTTATTAATTTTATGCTATTTTTAATTATTAATTACTCTTAATTTTGAACAATAGAAACATATTTCAACAAGTATTATTTATAATTTATAGTTGATTAAAGTAAAATATGCATTCCATATAATGACAACAGTAATTTTCAAACTTCATTTTGAGCAATAATAATAACAGCCTTAGTATTTTTATAAATAGTTTATTTTTTTTTTAATTTGCAGGTTTCTCTTATATTTTTTACATATGTATTATATAAACAATATAAATATATTAGTCCAAAAATTAATTTTTCATTATAATTATATAAATTTATTAAATCATTTTTTTTTTTTATCATTTAAATTTATATTGAAAACTGGTGTTTGTTTATTATAGGAAAGTAAACAATTGCTCATAATCACATATTTCTTCTACATTAATTATTTGTGCTGGCAGTAAATAGTGTGATAACTATCTTACTTTTTGTGATATATCAAAAAAAAAAAAAAACCCATTCATTGTATTTTAAATGTACATTTTTTTAGGGTTTACTTATTCCGTCCATGGTAAAATATAATGTTTTAATACAGGGTAGTTACTTAATATATTTATTTATTTATGTACACTGTTCAAACAGATTTAATTAATTAACAATTTATATAAATGTATTTTGTATATTTTTGCTTGATAAAATATATATTAGTTTTCCTTATCAAATACACTAAATTTATGACTTAGAACAATTAAATCTGTTTGAAAATTATGTGTTTATTTATATGTATGTAATAAAATTGATTAAATGACAGTATGGTTATATTGTTTTTAGCGTATATATTTGGTGTAGAGGTGTATGTAATAATTTGTAAGCCAACAATATTGGTAAAACTACACTCGCCAAAAATTTCGCACTCTATGTATATTTTTATATTTGTATTATAAGTAAATGATTTTGTATTTTAAAAAATATATATTCTGTAGAAATAATGATAAATATTAAATAGTCAATAATAGTGATTGATATTGTGTAACAGTGTACTTAATTGTTGAAAAAAATTAATGAAAGAGGCTCTCCAAAATTATGGCATCATGTCAAACAAGTATTAAAGAAAGAAAAAACGATATTTACAGAATTTTTGTTTTATATTTAATACATACATTAATAGTTATTAAATATTTTGGAGTGCCTTATATTTTTATAACATTTTATTTTGTAACATTTTTTTTTTTATTGTTTAACAAGACCAAATATAATAAGTATATAATAATAATAATAAAAAAAAAAAAAGTCATTAATATTCTTAAATTCACAATATTATTAGAACATTACATCTGAAATCTTTTAGGAAACCAAATTTATTTACACCTAAATTAAGAGCTTTGTCTAATAATAGTATTTACAAATATTATAAGGTACTTGAAATTGAAATATCCTAAATAATAATAATTATTGTAATAATGCTCTTAGAAATATTTTGATAGCATAGGTATGGGTGCACTAAATTGTCCCTAATGACTTAATTTTTTTACCATACTATTTTACATTTCACACACGAAAAACGTTTCGAACGAGCACGGTGAATCATTCCATTTGAGCCCTTTGCCGTCTCGGTTCCACAACTCTAAGCAATGCTCTTCCTCTCCATTTTCGTATTTGAAATTGTTCGGTTCGCCAGCGTTCCAGTTAGTGAATCCGATTGGTCGACCATTAGCCAACCAAAAGAACGAGCCTTCCTCTGCCTGATCAGTGCCGGATGTCCAAAAGTGTTCGTGTCCCAAACCTATAATAAACAATTCATAATAGATGTCCGTGACATAATCACTTGGAGGGTTCTTAATATCTTATCTCTCCTCGTATTTTATATTTGTATGGTTCTGTAAATTTTAAACAAAAAAATACCTAATCGAAGGATTAAATCATTATTAAGGACACATACGGAGTAGATAAAGACATGAATAAGGATATGCATATAGCGCACACAGACATGTAAAAAAATATTGTTTTATACATATTTGGTAGAGCGAATAATTGTTTATATTATCCGTGAATTTCTCACCATAATCCTTGATGTATTTTTCCAACCTGTCGTTTTCTTCTTGGTTGCTTATGCTGGTCAGATGCATTCCGTGATATCTGCAGTACTGGGCGGCTTTATACCAATTGGCCTAAATCGGTGCAAAAATAATCGCGTTTATCATCTACAAAACTTTTTGAAGTTTACAGTTCTGTACGTTAATGCACCTACCTTGAAAAAGATTCCCAAGTAGAGTCGCTTATCACCCGATCGTAAAAGCGGCATTGACCACCTGTTAACGGGAACGCTACTACTGTCTTCGGCGCAATTGTTATTGCTACATTCTCCCGCTACAACAAAAATAAAAAAATGTATAATTTTTTTAGCTATAAAAAAAGTTCAAAATTCAAATGTGATTATTAACGGTCTTTAGATTGTGGTTGTTTACCTAAACAAATTATTAACGAAGGATTGTCTATTCATAAAATGGGAAAATAGGTATAATATTAAACAAATACTATTAAAGAAAATGTTTAATGCATTAGTAATTATTTTACCATAATATGAAATATTATATATTATTGACAAAGCAATAGCACTATCAACTAAGCTCCGCTCAGAATCGTTTTTTCGTTAACAATGGTTTAGTGGCTGCACCCGTCCCCATTATTTTAGGACAACATTTTTTTATCTGTGAACAACTTTTCTACCAGAAATCTCGCTTTGATAGTGTAGCACCTTTCCTGACAGAAAATTGTATCTACTTGCTACTTTGCTATTTCTGTAGACGTGTTACAACTTTCAAAACATTTGAGCCATTTTTGGGCTATTTTTAGACATCATTTTGCGAGTTTTTTGCATAGTTTTTATTTGGTAGGTATTTACTCTGTGGATAAAATTGTTATGCCAAACAGAAATGCTTGGAAATTTAACTGGAAGTTCATATTTTGTATTATTGAAAAAAAAAAACAAAAAATTGACTTATGTAAAAATTCTTTTTTTTAAGAATTTTAATACCAAATGCTGGCGAAAATCATTACTATACGGCCTTACAAAACATGTATAAGTATAACCGAAATCTACTCAGAATCGTCTTTTGTTAATAATGATTAATCTTTGTGATATACATTAAATTCCGCTCTTTATACTACCTTCCTAACTTCTAACCTACAACAGTGGTCCACCCCATGAGTTCGTGCAAAGTATGTGTGTCTGTTTTATTATAATTCAGTTAAAAATATTCATAGAGACTTGAAATTTTGACAGAGAACTTATATTTGCTCTTTCTAGACGTGGTAAAATATTTAAAACATTTTATATTTACTATTATTTTACGCAGGTAGTTTTTATCTGGTAGGCACTAAGTGGATATCATTGTTTAACCAAACATAAATGCTTGGAAATTGAACAGGAGGTTTATTATAAGTTGTATTTAATAGTAAAAAAAATGTATAGTGTATTGTAGGTAATGATTTCAAAATCAAATTTTGATGAAAATTTTAAATATTATAGCGTTCATATATAAACAAACTTCGCTCAGAATAGTTTTTCGTACGATTCATGGGTTATTTATTGGTTATATAGAAATAAATTAAATAACTTTTGTATCTTACATTCACATCTTCCCACCTACAACAACTGTGCATCTATTGGCAATCAGCAGTATCAGTATTAACTATTTTTTTTTTTTTTTACATTAAATTCTACAATGCAGTCCGAAATGAAAACGCACGTATAACGCACTAATAAACGCAGAGTACAATATCATAAATGTCTGGAATAAAAATGTGCTCTGATCGTAAATTGATGCTAGATCCGCTTTTACAGCCTAATATATTATTTTAAAAATTAATTTCGTTAGTATTAATAGTAGGTATTATAAATTCATATGAGCTACTTGTAGTAGACACTTATGATAATATCATATATTCATCGGCCATCGCTGCAATACTAATTTTTTAAACTATCAGAAATGCTCGCCTTTTTTTATCGTTTTTTTTTTTTCGCATTCGTGCCAATAATAATGGTTTTCAATAAATTTTCTTCTTAGTTTTCTTTTAATCATTTTCATGTTTCGGGTTTATTATTTTCTTTTTAAATTTTAGATAATATTATATTAGGTAGGTGGGTATACTTATAATTAATCTAATGATTTTTGGCTTCTGCCCTTCGAGCAGAATACTATCGGCTATCGACCTATCGTGCGGCGGCGGTTCAAGGTTTATAATTGACCTTCCGAATTTATTTTAATCGAAACCTAACGTACGGATCGAATTGATATTATTCCGAAGCTATCCACACTCTGGTCGCAGTCGTGTACCTCCCGTCACGGACTGTCGGAAGATTTATATGTAATATTATAATTATTTAAATTTCACTTAACGATAATTATTTCGATTTATTATGCAGGTACCTGTGTGTTCGACCTGAGTGGACGTATTTACGAGTGTGGGTACACGTCCTGCAAGTCGCGCGTTCCAATCAAGAATTAAGATATCCGCGATCCAAATACAGGTTTTGGTGTACACAAGTACGCGATGCAGTGCATTGCGTTACAAAAATGTTCGTCGTGAGTTTAGTAAATTTTGCAAGGTCGGCCACTAGATTTATCTAGAGATTTTACCAAACGCAACCGGTTTTCAGTTTATTATTCGAGAAAATATTTTGGTTTAGTAATTTGTTTATGAACGTTTTACGACGTCTATAATTTATAATATCATGTACCTACGAGTAGGTACTGAGTATTACAGGTAGGTAACTACGTAATAATAATACATATTATTACAGTTTGATTATTTTAATAAAACTTATTTGGGCGGAAATTATAACGTAACATTTTACGTTTACAGTATATTTCGGGACGCGTTAAAAATCCCGGCAGTTCAAAACTCAACAGATACTTAACGTCACCGTGTCCATTTTGCGCCTTATAGAGTACACGTTCTCACATTATAATATCGGGTGTCTTACAATTCTAACAAATGCTACGGGCATTTTAGCGGTTTTCCGCGCGATCGTCTCGAAAATGCACCGTTCCAAATTTTGAAGTGCGAATAAATCCCGTCTATTTAACCGGATGCGGCAGCCGGTCACGGTTTTTGATTCCACCACTAGGACGTTTTCCTATTTGTACATCACACTCGATAACTCGAACATCGCGGTTGCCAGAAATATATGCGACTTGTTTTCGGTGCGTCGAGTACGGTTGACAGGATCCCTTCCATCAGTGAAAATATACGAGGTGGAGTATATGCCGTTATATTAACGTACCGCGACGAAGTCTTTATTTGTATTTTGATGGCGAACATGTCTGTCGGGTCGATGCCTATATTCACGAACTTACGTTCTGTGAAGCTCAGAGTACAGTCATTGCAATCGATTGGGTCCGCTGGCGATGCTTGTGCAATGTATTCGTATACTTGTTTCTTGCTTGCATCTACGTTTGTTTCGTTTAAAACAGCCATACAACCATGAAATATTTGTAAACATTTTTTTAAAAACGCTTTGTAAAAACGTACAGTCGGAGTAATTGGCACTGTTAGACGACTTGCTGCTGCGACTGGGACACGGATAATGATTCCGATATTCGTCTTACTCATGGTATAATTATTTTTTATTGGTTTTATTATTTTTAAAATATACATTGTATTCCTTTTAATTGTCAAGTTGTTTTATTTTATTTATTGTACCAATAAATCCATTGATTCCTAATATGCTTAAATGTGCAGTAGTAACTTGTAAGGGATCTGAGTCTCTTGAAAAAAGGAAGTGTACAGAAGAAGTAGGTTAAATCATGTGGACGAGCTGATAGTATAAACGTATATAATACTGGTGAGTAGATAATATTTAATATATAATAATTTTTTTACTCTTCTATTTATATTATATTTGTGTAACTAACTATTCAGAAAAAACATGTTCTTGACATTTTTATAGTAGTGACCATTTAAGCTGTTAATTCAAAAAATGGTGGGATATTATTCATCGAAAAGTTCACAAAAACTTAATGTTGATGCTGTACCATCTGTACATTTATTCATCTATTTATCAATAGCACACTTAAGAAAACCATTGAAATGTCAATTGAATATTTAATATATACACTAATGTGTTGGCAAAATATATATATCATCGAATAATAATGTTTTGAAAAAAAAATATTATTAGGAAGAATAATAATAACAGTTTATTAAAATGTGTACACTCGCACGATAATATTTCGTTGTATAAGTGATATTTAGCTGCGGCAACGGGTACGGGTAGATGATCAGCGGGCGCGGTAACTCGCGCGCGCGCACAGAAATAATATTTGTAAAACGAAAAATGTCATAAAACAATATTACATACAATAACGTTAACGAGTAGGTACTCGAGAACGGTATAAATACATACATACATCCGTCATCAGCGGTTATCGCGGGGTGGGCGTTATAGGTAGTCGTAGACTTTGTGTGAGGAATCGTATTAGCCAGTGTGACATACGCTAGTTATCACACATGTTATCAATGGTCACAAGAGTCGGGAGTGGGCAAAATACCAACAGGTTAGGTGCATACAGAGTTCCGTTTTGGTCCTGAATTTTATTATTGTAGAATGATTATTTAATAATTACAGGTATATGAATAACGATGTGGGAACAGTTGGTATAGCACGTGATAAGAGTAAAAATAAGTCGAGTAAGTAGTTGGATAATGTAGACGAAAAATATTGTCAAGTGGGAGGGGCAAAATATAGGTCTATAAGATTGCAAAAATTATGTATTACTGACTGCACTCGGAATCGTCTTTCGTCAAGTAATAGTTTACCGTTGCTTACAGATATAAATGAAATAACCCTATGTATCCTACCTTCCCAAATTCTCAACTACAACAGTGGTCGCTCCCATCCCCAGTATCAGCTCTTTTTTTTTTTTAACTTATTACTTACCTACCTATCTACCTACCTAACTCGGTGTGAAAACTATACCGAGTAGGATGTTATGGTTTCCGACTTTGCATGAATAGGTTACAGTTGCTTATAATTATTGCGTGTCAGTATACTTTGTTAAAAACAAAAAACAATGCGGGAAGATTATACCTCGTAGAATAATAATAGACGCGGACGTATTTTCTCGACACGCATTATTTTTTTACTGTATACTCTTATTCTACTTGACTGCTAAACACGAAATAGGCAATTTTGTTTAGTTAATGCATTGGGAAGGTCAGTTTTTGATTTTCTTCGTAATTTTCCAAATAGGTATAGTTGTTAAAACGGATAAATTTACACAATAACACGGCTTTTGTTATTTTCGATTTTGTCTTTTTGTTGCCGATACTTTTACCGAACATTTGTATTTTAGCTCTTTTTAGAAGACAACGGGATATTTTCTATTATTATTATTCATTTTTTTTTTTTTTTTTCATAATCAATTGTAGTATTAAATCCACGTGTCACAAAATTATATAACTATTAATGTACTGCACCCACGAGTATATAGTGCGTCTGGAAGAATTTTAACCGATCTCGCAGTTCCAAAATTATAAACGCATAATACGACCGTTCTGTATACGTGTGTCGTGTACGTATCCACCCGTGCCGTGAGAAAAAACGAGTGGATCATTATTTTAATATGATTTTTAATAGCGCCGCTCGGAGAAACCAAAACGTTTTTATAACGTATATATTATATAAATATCCGCGTACACGGTGATCTGCAAAAACCGCAATAATAATTACAATAATATATCTCACAAACATATTACGCGTGGGTATACGTCAGGTTTTATGCAAACAGGTACCTTTATACGCATATAATATGGAGTCAAGCCAGAGAGGAACATGTTCCCCTAGCTTTTTCATGGTCACGTGTATGGCATATTACTGTAGATAGGTACGTTAACAGTTTAACAAAAAGATCATTGTAAAACGCAATTAAAAATAAAACATTGCCCTCGGGATTTTTGAAGTTTGAGACCTTTGAAAACAAAGCAATACGCGTAAAGGAAATTCAGTGACATTGTTGAACCGGTGTCATCGCGTGTTAAAATATCTTCTGCATATTATAGGCAATTGGAAATTTCATTTGATTTCAATTGTATAGATGATTTGATGTATCGCAATTTCCATTTTTTTTTTCACCGAGTAGTTCGATCCGAATTGATTTTCGAATACGTATTTTTTAATTATTAATTTTCATACCGATTAAATAAATCATTTTTTTTAATTTTTTATAATACTAAAATGTGGTGACGAGAATCGGGTTTAGGCGCACTTGTGCCTAAACCCGAAGTACGTCAAGTAGGTACGTGCCCGATGAGAAGGAATGTGGAGAATAGGAAGTGGTGCTGATACATACTCTACCGGAGATCTCCGGTTAGCGACCCGATTAGAGTTCTAGTTACGTTTTATTATGACGAGTTACGCCTGTTATTATCGTTACACTAATAATATTTGACGATGCCCGTACCTACATAATTATATAATGGAGGTATGTACCGAATAGGAAAACACCGAACTAAAAATATAAAAACAACTTTAACACGATATATATCGATAAAGTGTATTTATTTTTTTTTTTTTCTAGTTTATATTATTATATTGAATAACCTAACACATCTTATTAATATTAATGTTATGTCAGGTGACTTTCGGTTTTGTAGTATTGGAGTGTTGTTACCATAATAACGTATTATTTTATATTGCAGTAACCGTCATCGTCGCTATCGTGTACGGTCCGGTTTTTGTGCTACAGTTATTACTATATTGCGGGACACGGCTCGTACTTGGCGCATTGTGGCACCTAACTCTATTTCAATTTTTCCGGATGATATTTTGGACCGGGGATTTTTGTTGTGATACTATTATTAAGTGTACCAGCGGTTTGATTGTTCATCTAACACGAGATACATTAATCGTATTAGATATTATATTATTCACCGAGAAAGAAATTATATTATTATTTACCTACGTTGTACGTATCTACGGAAATAGAATTTAATTACCGACCCCCCCTATTCGTCTGCTAAGAGTGCGTATGACCCAAAAACGGATTGTATTTTTCATAAACGTTATACTGACCGATTTTAACCATTTCAGTTTTTATTAATCGATTCAATACAAATGTATTCTATTTTTATTTTTCCAGAAAAATTTGCATTTGGTCGATACGCGGTTCTCTGATTCTATTCCGACGCATTAAGCTAGTATTATTACATTTCGCATAGAAATTATTACTGTTTACTGATGTACCTGACTGGTATAAGCGTTCAATTTTTTCTTCTTTTACTGGGTAATTATAATTTTCGCGGGATCGCACAAATTACGTATTGTAAGGCACCCGTATTAAATACAAAATATGCGTCTACTGCCTACCTGTAAATAACTTACATATGTTTTTACTTATATATTTACAGGCAGTGTTGAATCCAAGTATACTCCAGGAGCGCAAATAATAGAATTTCATTCGCTCCCCCCCCCTTTCCTGATAAGTACAAAAACTGTCAACAAAATGTAATCATTAAAATTACAGTACTCGTTACTCTTCCCGATTTACATAGAAATGACCAATAAAAACAAAGGGATCCATCCCCAGAAAAATTCTCTGAATTCAACACTGTTTACAGGCCATCATGGGATGACAAACGATGAGAATGCGGCTCGGAGACTTTTTATAAATGCAGACAAACCATTTTCAACTACCGGTAGGTATTGAATTATATTGGTTTTAACGATTTGATATTATACTATCAGTGGCATCGAGTGGTCGTGAAATAGCTGTCAATTCGTTTAAAATTAATTTACCGTTTAGAAACCGCCCAACGTTTTGTACGAATTTATCCAAGGTTTTATATGCCTGCCAGTGTTCGTATAAATTTGATTCATAGAAAAGATGTTATTCAACATGAATTTTTTCCAATAGGTCTGTGTTTTAGTCATTATGCAAATTACGTTTTAATATTTTAAAATACTGAAGATATATCATGTTTATTATATTTAAGGTCAATTGTCAGAAGAAGCGCAATAACGTCGAAATAAAGATTAAATACTAGCTATCGGCAACATCACACAAGAAAAAAGAATCTACTAAATAATACACACAATGATCTTCTCTACGTGCTTATTCTGATATCCTCGGATCCAGTAATGTCAAGTCATCGACATATTAAAACAAAGACAAATTCCGAATTGTTAAGTGAGGCGAAGAAATTATTAGCATTGCATGGATAAATCAAGTTTAAATTATTCTAAATCGAAATCTGATGACTAAATTACGAAATAATATTAATAATAGCAGCGCTTAAACTATATTTGTATAGTGTAGCAGAATTTTAAATTTCGGATGTATTGTATTAACATTACCTACTTATACTTCATTATTATTTAGGGGAAATTTAAGAGTTAATTTAAATTCGATACAAAATTTGAGTTCGGCGACCTTCAAAATAAATACATTTGTGTGAAAAATACAAATGATGTAAAAGTTTAAAAATTATATATCTCCCAACTAGTAACGCAATTAGCATATAAACCTTGAGGGGGAGGCTTGAGCCCCACCTATAATGTTAAATATATGTGATCTACGAGGCTTTCGATCTTTATTGGGGAGGAGGGGTGGCTCCAGACGCATACCAAATACGAAATTTGGGTTCAGCGTCCTCGAAACTGATAGGTTTGATGTATTGCACAATTATAAAAGTTAAAATTTAATGGAAATTAATTTGGGAAAGTTAAATTACGATCAGATTACTGTTCGGCGCTACTGAAACAGATCCGTTACATTATAATTACGTGTATGAGTTTGAGAGTTTTTTTGTAAAACGAAAATTGCACAGTTGCGTATTATATTGTATGGTAATTGTCGTTCAGTCGAAAATGTCTTGACGATAATATTATGCGGTAGACCGGTGGTCGCTATACACAAATAATAATATTTTACCGGGCAATAGATGTTCCAATATCTTATGTATATATTCAACATTGCCACGATAAATATTACAATAGAGTGAGCTACAGAGTATTAAATATTACAATCGTGTATTGTATGTTTTTTGTGTGCAATTTTTTACACAAATATGAACTATGTTAAAATTGCGCAAGAAATTTTGATTGAAAAATAAATAAGCCGTATTTGATGCAGTAAGATACTGTACAGGATATACGAAAACGGTTTGTAAACTTGAAATGCCGTTATCTGCGTGTGTATCGGCGGTATTACAAAAATGTACAAATGGTAATGTGTACTATATAGTGTTATTATTATTACAAAATGTCGGACAATACGTCCAACTATTCGGTGAATTACGAAATTCCCAACGGAGTTATAATATTATATTTTCGCATTATACGATCGTAATGATATTACCATCGTTATTGTTATAGTATAGTAAAAAACCCGATAAAAATCTATACTATCGTCGCCGTCTGTTAACCGAAATAACAATTAGGACGTATACGGTTGTTAAAAATTCTGACATTGAACGCGCGTTTTTCGTTCATGTTGCGTATAGGAAGGACGCCGTAATGCCGTGCCTAAAACAGCCCCTACGTACTAATATAAATAAGGTATCGATATTACGCTCGGCACGTATACGCAATTAAAAAATTATAATAAAAACGATCGGCATTCAACGCCATACGACACAATATCCACACTCTTGTCGTGGTTCTTTTGTGGTTTTTCAGAATATCCCGTACTCGCGTACATGCATGTTGCCACTGTTCGCACTGCATACAACGTTACACAATATTATCATATAAATGTCCCGATGTCTCTGCCCGGTGCATACATACTTAAGTGGTATTTATACCCGCTCTGGTGAGACCATCGTCTCTATAAGTGTATACGATGTTTCCGAACGCGTGTTTTACGAGCAGGTTTTTTTTACAAACGGATATTAACGGATATTAAAACGTAAAATAAATATAAATTTAAAAAAAAAAAAAATAATACCTAACTAACAATAATAATAATAATAATATGATTCGATTTATGTATTATAGCCGGATGGGCGAAATCAACGAACCGACGGCGAGACCGAAAATTATCGATTCATCGCTATAAGTATAAATTTTCAGCAAATCCGTTTTAGATTCCGAATGAATCGCCAAGAATGCAAATTGTTGATTGCACTGTATGTGTTTTTTTTCCCGTTCGTGAACAATTTTTTTTTCAGTCGGAAATGTTACTTCGTTCTTCAAGTATACTATCTTTTCCAAAAGCAATTTTCGTCAAAATGGTGTAATTCGAAAGTCATTTTTAAAATTTTCCTTGTTTAATTTTCTCTTTGCAGTAATTAGGGAAACCGATAAAATGTACACAATTACGATTTCTGTAATTTTCGAATTTGGATTTTTAGTTGTGTTTCGGTTGAAAACAATCGCACAGACTTAACATTTGAATGCTTGTATATTAGTATTTTTCTTGTTCAAACTCATTTTTGAGCCAGACATTTGAAATCCGAAAGATTTTTTAGGTTTTATTTGGTTTGATATGGATAGAATTCTTTTGGCTGAGTAGAAAAGTTGTACTTAGTAATATAATGAAATTAAAGGGAATGTAATATTTTTTTTAGAAGCGTTTTAAGTTCAAATTTAAACCGTAAAAAATGTCAAAACAGGCATGTTTTAACTGAACTTCACTCTGAAATGTTTTTCCTTGACAATAATTTATCGTTGCGAAATTCGAATAATGAGTGTTATGTATATTTTTTGGCAGGCGCTTTTATTGCGTTTCTACAGACCACTGTAAAAAACTTATACTATAATAACTTGCATAGTACTTATTTTAAAAATTTTATAAATATTTTTAATTAGTCCACGCGAGCTAAATTAATGGAACAATACTTTTTACGTGTGTATTATCTTGGTAAAAAAAAAAATACAACTTGGTCAAGGACACCAAAGTCCAGCCATTTTGTCCATGACCTTCGCTCGGATCACGATTTTAATAGAAAAGTTATTAAAAACAATATTCGTCCGCTGTCCCAGAAATATAATTACTAGGTTTGGACAAACCACGCACCAATAATTTCCGCGTGAATTATTTTGTTATAGAATTTCTGTTATAAACAACTTTTCTACTAGAAATCTTGCTTCAATCAAAAATTGTATAGGAACTTTCTTGTAGCATTTTTGATCTAGTTGGTGTCTTGTGTTGGTAATTTTTGTGTAGTTTTTGTTGATTTCTGGGTTACTTTGACAACAAGGGAAAATACGACTATGAATACTCTGCTCAGAATCGCTATTTATTACCAATGATTAATCATTACTGCGATGTAAATTAAAATACTCTCTTTCTATATATATATATATATATATATATACATTTTTTTTTAAAAGTTTTATTTGAAAAATTACGATCTATTCAAAATGTACAAAAAGTAATAATAATAATTTACAGACAGATGATATTTATATAAACACGAAGAGGAACTCACACATTTGTGACACCTTGTAATGTTTTTACGTTATTAGTTTTAATCCAATAATTCCCGAATGGACACTTAATGAGACTTTATAGGAACTGTGTTTGATGAATTCAAATTTTGAAAACGGGCTATGATTTGTTAGATTCTTTATTAGGATATGTTGGGAACTTGAAAATAGAAATTATTATTAATAGTTTTATGGGAAATAGTAAACAAATTTGATATTATTTTTGTAAATTGTTAAAAAATGTACTTATAGTACGTTTTGTCCATTATCTTTGATACAAAAAAAAAAAATGAAGCACAATTCTTGCAGTTTTGTCTAACTAAACGGTCAAAAGTCTAAACTGTCATACTCGTGTACGTGAAAACTCAAATTAATATCTTGAAATTTTTTAAATGAGTATTTTAAATGGAAATCTTATCATTTAAAATTAATATGATCTTAAAAGTATAAAACAAAAAAGTATCATATTATGCAAAATTGAAGATAGTTTTTAAATCAGTCACCAATTTCTCTTCAGATTGTAACGTAAACAAACGTGGGGGTTCCTATTCACTATTTTACGCAATTTATTACATTTTTGTAATAATATTTCAACCTCATTAGCCGCATTACTATACCTGAGTAATAAATAATAATAATAATAACAATATTAGTATAATACCTGTGTCCTGTATTATATGTAGGTATATATGCGAAGGTCGAGGCGATAAATTTGAAACATTTTTAAATTTTAAAATAGTAAAATAATAGGTACACACTATGATATATCGGTACAGTGTAACATATAAGTCAAGGACTTTGAAAAAAAAAAAAAAAAAAAAAAAAAAAAAAAAAACTTTGATCTCCTTGCAAATCGACAGTCGTGTACCTACAATGAAATTGCAATTGAAAGATATCAACAGTACCAATCGTACTGTTTTTATTGTATTACACTCAGCAGTACCGTATTGTAGAATGCAACAGTCATTGTATTACCACGGTCGAACGAAAATATTTGAAATGATTATAATCAAATATATGTATTTATAAAACCGTGGCTGAAGAATATAATATTTGATAGCGCAAATATCTGTGCGCGCAATACTGACAAATATAGTGATACCAATTTGTTTGTTGCAACGCTGTCGTCGGACAAAATGATTACCGTGGGATTTTTGCCCTGCCCTTACTGCTGTCCGTTTACCATTAGATGAGTAAATAAATATTACCGCTACTACTTGCCGTGAAATTTTCGAATACGTCAAAACATGCAAATTTATCAACTGCCGCGACAATTGGCTTTCGGGTGAATTTGGTTCCGCGTGTCGTTATCGCAATAGCAAACTTGTTGTATAATTACGGAATTTGTTCAAAATCATGTTCAAAATGTTCGTATGCGTGCGTTTGTCAATTAGTTATAACATGGCGGTCGAGATACCGGAACTACGTAAACGAACGAAAACAGCTATAGTGATCGAAAAGACACTATATCCGATAGAAAATCGATTGGTTTTTAACCGAGAGCACTTTTCGGCCGATTCGGGAATGGGACCTCACCATCTATGGACAGGACCCGTCGGTAAGGGATAACCCTCCCTCAAATTTAAAAATCAATACAGGAGTCCGCGATTCTCTTTCCAACGCCCAATTCGCTATTTTTACAAAACATTAAAAGTCATAACGACTTCATAAGGCCGTTAATAGTTATCTACACTAACGCGTACTGGGGCATATTACGTATGGGTAAAAATATAACGTGTTGTCGACTCGGCGGCGTTCTGCCGACGGGCGCGGTATTCGCGTTTTTACGCCAAAGGCTGGGGCGCCACCCGATCACGTTTCCCCTTTTGAATGACGGCGGTCGCCGTAATCGCGCGACTACGACAGGTATCGGCCGACCGCACTGTTCGTAGATCGGTGTCACCCGTATATACGCGAAGTTTCGTGTCGTTTACGCGTTTCAACGCGTCATTTAACAACCTGTATTTACGTTGTACGATAACCGATTATACTACACAGATACATAGGAGGTAGATACTATGTTATCGTGTGCGGCTTGTAATAACTGTTCGTGTAACGTATGCGCCCCTTATGTATGCAGCGTGTGGGCGCGCTGTTGAATATGCTGACCTTGATTAAAATATTGCGTGTCTCCGACAACGCCGTCGTCGCTGCCGCCGCCGCCGCCGCCGCCGCCGACGTCTTCTATCTCGACGTAATTGTTACCGACGGAATTTCTCTGTGGAACGTTCGATGGCAATTCGGTACCGGCCGCTGAAGCCGCCGCCGCGAACGCGTGTTGCTGACCGACCTGTTGGACGCTCCCCCTGTTCAGACGCTTTTGCAGGTACTGCGCCAGTATCTGTTGCGTAATCCCATTCTGCCTCACCAGGTCGGCACCTACACAAACATATAAGAATTTCAGAAGAGAGAACGATTCGCGGCCGCCGATTGTACCGTCATCGCGAGCCGGTGGGACCCGTCCGGGCGTGAAATGTATTACGTACTGGGTGGTGTGTGTTTCGTCGAAAACCGTGGAAAAACAAATACACAACATACAGTACATTGAAAGTATAACGAGATAATGTACTAGCATAAATCGACGGTGACACGGCCAAGGGGTCTAAGCGACCCGGCTCCACTAGTGGATGGAGAAATACGTGTTTTGTCCGTTGCGCGTGCGCCAAAATAGCTGTCGCCGTTGTTTAAAAGGATATTATACCCGCTGTATCTACCGTCTCAGTTCAACTACCGGGTAACGTGCATAAGTAAAACTAGTTTAATTTCGATTTTAGAGCAAAAGTACCTATCATGAAACGTATAGAGAATAATATTTTGAAGGGAATATTATAGGTGTTTTTTGAATTATGAACTTTCAAGTTACAGCTATTTAAAAAATTAAAAAAAAATTTAGGTTTATGTATCTTTTATATCAAGCTGAATATTTTGAATAATACAAAAACCCTTTGACATTCCCTCTAAAATATTGTTCTCTATAAATTTCATAATAGGCACTTTTATTCTAAAATCAAAATTAAGCTAGTTTCACTTATTCTGCATCAGCATGGTTAGGTTACCGGTAGTTGGACTGAGACAGTAGATGCGGATATAACGTCCTTTTAACGAACGATTCGAATTTTAAGTTTGGGGTATAAATGATACTTTTTATTTTGTCATTTCAATTATATAGGATCTAAACGACAAGTTAATCAACATTGCGTATTCATATTAAAGACGTACAAAAAAAAAAGAAAAAAGAAAGTACTCATTAAAAAAATTCCCATTCTAACCGGAAAAAAATTATTGTCAACCTAAAAAAAAAAAAATAAAAAGTTATAATCACAAAAAAATGTTCTTTTACTCTCCTAAAAACTATTAACTGTGTGGCTTAGACTCTTTTGCCGTGTCGTCATCGATATTACGTAAATACATACGCGCATGGTGGGAAATGACGAGGACACGGAGTTTAAAAACCTGAACATGTGCAAACGTGTACATGACGTTTCAAAATTTGAAATCCGTAAAAATCTTGACCGGACAAAAATGAAAAAAAAAATTAGGCCGTTACGCGTAAGTTTTATTGTCGTGTCCGGTCCGGATTTCAACGGATTTCGCATTTTGGAATCCAACATTTTCACGGTCTAACATAGATTTTATAAGTCCCCGTTCATGCGCGCTCCCGATATATTGTTACAATGTCGTGTAGTGTGACACGCGGGAGAGAGTACCTGTGTAATATAAGGCCTTGTACCTAGGTATGACTAACCTAACCGCGCTTTTACTCCTATAAGGGGACGCGATATTACACCCATCATCACGATTTTCCTATCGGAAACGATATCTAACAATAATAATAAATATTCGTGTTTAAAGTGGCTGAATGTAGGAAAAACACCCGTATTATACAATCGAAAGAAGACCGCGTGTTTCGCGGAGACGGTTAAAAAAAAAAAAAACTCCGCGGTAAAACCGCGTTTTGTAAAGAAAGATTATAGCGAAATCTGCATAGTTTTTATGTCGGCACAATATTATGCTAAAGGTATTTCAAAACGGATATAGATAGGTATGTCATTGTTTCCAAAATATCGTATATTCTGTCTGTTTTATAATTGGGGGAGTATTTTTTTTCTCTGTATAGAAATCGCATTGAAAAAGAAAGTATATGTGCACTGTACATACTTTTTACGTTTTACGCAAATGTTTTTCCAAAAGAAATTCCGTAATCACACAGGGAATATAATATATACGCACATATGCACTTCTGACAATGACACGAGATACTATACTGTTGTACGTTTATTTGAAACGTTTTGAGTCGATGAATTTTAATTACTCAAAAAACGTCATTTTCTGTATAAGCGATCTATAAAATACTGATAATTCGATACCCCCTTAAATGTGTCGATGAAACTTTTTCTGTTTATTTACACAACATTGAAAAGTCGTTTACGGCTATTCAAACGTTTAAACGATTTTTTAAAAATCGTCAAGACGAATACCGTGAAGTAATTAATTACAAATACTAGTAAGTTTTGGATATCTATTTACCTAAAAAAATAAAATCGAAGACCGTTGATAAAATAAAATAAAATTGTTTTTACGTTAAAAATGTTGTACAGTAAAACAAAGCCGAACAGGAGATGCATTATTATGTACGAGTTACGAGTTCTGTTATGTAATATGCTGGTTGCAGAGTGTAAGTATTAATTTTACCGTTTAAATCTTGAACAGATATTGAAATTTTTTTTTTCAGTTGTTATCAAAAATCTACTAGACATCTAATACATCATAATCGCGATGACTAAAAAATTCGACGCGTTATTATTATTATTTTTTTTTTTTTTGAAAGTTGACGAACATAATATAACTGCAGCTATCAATTACATAACTTTATACAATTACCAAGGTATGTTTCGATTTTTTTTTTATCGTATCTATTAATACATACATGCATGAAAACAATATTTCGATATCCATACGAATAAAATACTTGATTTTTTTTTTTTACTATTTTGTGTATTAGGTGTAATACACTACTAAGCTGTAATGGAATTCGAAAATATAAACTCGAAAAGAAGGATAACTTATTAGCCTCTTAAGACTTAAGTTTCCAGTTTTATCAATGTTTTATTTAACGTATTTTAATTTATTATATGTAATTTCAAGGCTATTTAATAAGATACAATAGATTCCGGTCAGATAATACAAAATGTTACTCTGTGTCATTCATACTTAGGCGAGTAGTGACTGATTGACTGACTAACGATTCGAATGATTTGACATTTCAAGTCATTATTTAAAAGAACGATAAAATGATTGTGTAGTTAAAATTTAATGAAAATAAGAAAATGGATTTGTTTTTACGAGATTAGCTCTTCGAATAAATCAAAAACAAAAATTTAAGAACAGACAAGTTTTTATCGCTTTCTCGAAAACGCGTATTTTTGACTCGACATTTTTTTTTGCTAAAATCGTCAAAATACAGCAAAATATTATGTTCATTACATTTATTTGAATAGTCACATTTTCGTGGTGTTAACAATCTAGATACTTAAAAAATCGTTAACGTTTAAGATTTTTACCAATTATTATCGTTTTGTCACCTGCACTGTTTACACAACATTATAGTTGTTAACCAAAAAGTAAACTACTGTAACACTAATTTGTACCTTAAATTGTACATTATTAAAAAAACACGATAACGATTGTTACTTTTAAGTTTTAAGCCATGTGAAACAGGTATACCTATTATTTTTATTTATTAAAACGAATAAACCAACAAATTGACCGATAACTGTTCATATTTCTACTTCTCCTTTTAACCGCTCAGTCTTTCTTCTTTTTTTTTTTAGTTCAATCATTGTAAGGAACAATAATTTTTTAAGTCTCCTATGAGACTATATCCTCTTTTATTTTTCCAATTCAAACACTAAATATTAACCAGACGACATTAAACTACCAGAAAATATATTTTATACCATTTCAAGAGTGTGGGATAAAAGAAATATTTAAGTCGGTTGAAAGTGTTTAATTTTTTTTATAAATTTAGACTAATAACCTCAAGAATAATAAATACGAGTATATCCAGTAATCCAATTTCTATTTTGAAAATGATTTGAATAAGTATTGTTTGTTTTCCTATATTTTGGAGGAAAACTATTTTCAGTATCTATGAGTTCGTTTTAAGAAAAAAGGTTAAATTATCAATTAATTAAATAAAAAAACAAATATAAGAAAATCAAAGAATATAGATGTTTTCAAAATTAAAATATCAGGCGAGTGGTAGTGGATGAATTTAACTCCAGCTTATTGGTTTTAAACGTCATATTTTCCCGTTAAACCGGTAGTACCCTTACCTATCAAATTGATATCGGACAGCAGATAAGTAGAAAAATGTTATCGTTAAGATGTTTATTATAAAAGGTAAAAAATAATTGTAATTTTTTTCGATTTAAAATATTGTTACTCTAGTGGTTACGTTTAACGATAACGGTACAACTTGAACGTACACTTAACAGTTAATGGTCTATCAGAACTTCAGCAGCCTCACAAACTATGAATGTAAAACATTTGATTAACTTTTGTATTATGGACGATTTGATTCCAGTTTACATATACGCTTATCGGCCTGTAAACCAAACACAGTACCTATCAACATAAAACACTCACCGGCATTTTCGTTTGAACCATTGTGGCAAATTATTAATTTCGAAAATACATCCTATATGAAGGTTTAAACAAGAAGTTTTTATGTTTTTTTTTTTCTTTTAATATATTTTCACAACTTATTATGCCAATATGACTCCAGCATATTGGCTGTTTTCAAATTCGTTATTAAATCATAACTTTCAAATATCAACATTATATCGTAGTTAAAATATTTTCTTAAAGCCGTTTGTGTTGTATAATTTAACATTTAACACTCACTGAGTAGTGCGGCCGTGTGGGTAATAAATCAAGTGTGACTGTAATAGTATAATATTGTATAATCTTCGTGTTTAAGTTCTCAGATTATTATATTTTATGGTCTCTACGTTCGCCATGGCATCAGTGTGTTATAGAAATATTATCGATAACTAAAGAAAACTATAGACATTTCCTCTAAAGTGTAATTGTTATATTATTATTAAATATTGCGTGCTATATTGCATATTTAGGATTCTCTGCATGGCAAAGAATCACTGTGATTCTACAACTATGGATATCGGAAAAAATGTCTGCTACAAAATGTTTACTTGTTTTTTTACATAATACTTAGATAATGGGAGAAACACCAAAACAGTGAATACTTGAGCGACGCCGATTTTTGTCAATCCAATTTTATTTTGAAATTTTTAACAAATATGTACGTTATGATTAAAATCCAGATACCAGAATAGATTTATTTTTTTTTTTGAGTGAGAAAATATGTAAAATTATCGATGTTCTTTTTAGTCTTTTTTTTTCGATTCATATAATGGTTCCTTGTAAAATATTTTGATCACGTAAATTTGGTAAGTGGATTATCATACAAGTTGATTTAAATTCTTCCTGGCCAAAAAAAATTCGAGTCCTATTTTTGATTTGTTTTTATTTAAGCGTTTAAGTTCCAATGTTTAACGAAACTCGTAAAAATCAAGAAAACATCGAAATTATTTTACAGTTAAAAATTAATAAACTCAAATTTAATTTTGTAAAAAAAAAAAAAATCGGGTACTTTTCTATAAAAGATTTAAACTAAATCACCCTGCGCAATGTACACCCAGTACTTTTCTACTAATTGAATATACAGTATGAGCTAGGTGAATATATTTTATTCACTCAGTTTATAAATAGAACTACGCCTCCATATTTCTTTTTGAAATACATTATTTATTATTATTGTAAAACGTACCAGTCCACATTCCTCAATGTATTATATTACAATGTATACTTGCATAATGTGTTTAATAAGCGTATTATTATGTATTTGAATAACATATTTTAATTATTATAAACTATAGTTAGGTAGGTATTTGTATTTGCGTGGGTGCTAACGCCATATCCATGACGGGTTAGGGGGGAGGGGTGTTAATTTAATTTGAGATTCTGGGCGAGGAATCTATTGGCAAACAACTTTTCCACTAGAAATCTTGTTCTAGTCATCAAATTCAGAGGTGGTATATGATAAAATTGTGTATACATATAGGTAGTGCATTGAGAAGGTCATTTTTTGATTTTTCTTGTAGTTTTCTTCATAATTTGTAAAACCCGGAAAAACGAAATAAATGTACTTAATTTCAGTCATTTTCAATTCTGTTTTTTTTTTTTTTTTTTTGTAGTTTGGTAAAAACAAATCTTTAAACATGACGTTTTCACCGAATACTTTTATTAGCCCTTTTAGAAGGCGTGAAGTTTTCAAAGCATTGTAGCCATTTCAGGGCTATTTTTAGTATTTTGAATTTGTCGAGTTTTTTTAGTTTTTATGTTGATAAAATTGTTTTGGTCCATTAAAAATGTATACCTCTACTTTAAGTTGTATTTATAGTGGTGATAAAATAGTTTTTCATTAAAAATGATTTATCAATGCTTACAAATATAAATTAAATTACCATGGATCCTACGCCTTACCAATTCTTTTTTTTTAATTAATAAATTAAGCGCCTTTGTACTATAATACAAATTATTCATAATACATTATTTTGCCCGATCTTGTATTTTTTTTAGATGAACTCTTATTGGCAAATTGGTAAGTATACCTACCTTATTTTACTGGATTTATTTAACGTGTCTAACAGTCGGTAGCCACTAGCCGGACAACCTAACATAAAACATACATTTATTGGCATTGTTTATTATAGTGATATATAAAAATAATATATTTCGCTCCTCCAGTCTGCAGTATACAAAGTATTATGCAAATGTTTGATTTATAATATTATAATTTTTATTTGAAGTTTAGAAATACGGAGAAAGGAGACAAAATATAATATATTGAATTACGCCAGAAAAAAAAAAAAGAAGACTTAAAATGTTATGACCTCACATTTAAATGAATTATGTACCTATCAATTTAACCTAAATGACCTAACTAATAACTATAATTTTTCGTAAAATACCATCGAGCATATTAATAATAATTTTATGTTATTGAAATGTTTTGATTTTAAACAATTTATAAAATTGTAATCTCGTGTAATTGCATCCCACTATTATAGGTATTTATTAGGTATGTTTTTATAAGATAGGTAAACGACAAAAAAAAAAAAATGAATAATATTACCGACTGTGAACGAATAAATACCATTAATTATCTGTAAAAAAATTCCGAAGATGAACGCGGTTGTTTTTTTTTTTTTTTATTAACGCCAAAGTTGAATAAATCCTTCCAAATAATAATTTATTGCGTAATGAATAAAAATGATAATGATGATTATTATTATTATATCTTAGGTAATATATTACCAATATAATAATATTTAGGTAACCACTGACGTATAATTTAAGTCTTATATATGTGTAATTGACTTATAATTTAGGCCTTTAGGTAAATACGATGCCTATATAAAACGTGATGGTCAATTTTAAAGTGTATAAAATCACGTTTAAAAATACGAATTGCAGATCGTTGGTTTTCTTTTCCATTACAAAGAATAATCAAGATATAATGACATAATGCCCAAAATATGAAAACAAATGTCTGTTATAATATGCTGTTATGTGGGACGTGTGGGTACTTTATCAAAGTATTTGATTATAATTTTCAATTCTATCGCAATATCGTGGTATAAGTTAAATTAAATTGAATCACTTCGTCCTATAAAATAACTATATATTTTGCCAGCAAAAGCAATCTTCATTGTTACCAAAAGTGCCCAACCTATTATAAATATATTATTACTAGATAATATTACATAGGTATATACTTTCTCTACTACTGCAATACGCCAACAATCAACATTATACAAATGTATACAAAAAAAATGTCTTATATACGTTAGATTAAAACACCTCTACCCGAATTATTATTGTTATTTTTCATATTTTTATAAAATAATAGCGTTGTGTAACATTGGCCGTATAGTTTTAGAAGAACCATTAAATTGAATTGCGAAGCTTTATGACAGACTGAAAAAAAAAAAAAAAAAAAAAACGACCATTTTGAATTATGGACATTCCATACCTACGAGACCGGCATTATGCTATTATGACAATATTATTAGCTATATAATAATAATAATAATAATGGCGCAATATTCGCAGGCGCGTTATTATTTTAAATTTGATATGTATTATTTGTTTGTATTTTTAAAACAATTCCACGACATTGTTTGTGGTGGAAATGAGATTGGCGACAAAATTACGGTTTCGCGTGTATAATATAAAGTACTTAATAACCACTTTCTCCCGGCGAGTTCAGACATACCTATATATTTACAACGGAGACATATTCGTGCACGAGGAGGTTCTTCGCCGATACCGGTTGAATGTCGCGCATTACACAATCGTCCGCTCCCCGATAAAATGCTGCCGTTGGAGTGCGACCGAAGCGCACATTTCGTACGACTCTCGGTAGAACCTATGATATACCCTATGGGTAATCAAACAGCTAGGGTAACTACCGGCCGAAGGATCGGTTACTATTGTGCTTATTGGTGACGATCTCCGATTCGTGACACGCACACACCAACGATTTTACATACCTATTACAAGTGTTGTAAAATACCCAATTGAATAACTACGCGTGTATGTTTTAGTATTTGGTTTGGTATATTAAAAACTATTTAAATAGCTACCTCTTAAGCGTTCCGCTGCGGAGCGCGCGCGGTGTTCGAAAAGTTCAAACTATTACCCGTAGAGAGTATACTGCACAAGTTGTAGGAATAATACACGCAGTCGTTATACCCACCCAATGGAGGTTAACAATATTATAACCTTATACGAACGAAATTAATAAAAACGTAAAAATATACTAGCATGTATTCGCACATTCATTGTACATGCTATTCTTGGGTATTTGTAAAATAACATGTTTTCGACATTATTTCGATTGTTCTTGGAACAGTTTTTTATACGCAAATATACTCGTATAGTGGCAATACATATATTAGTATTATAGTATTTGAAAAAAAAAAAATATATATATCAAAGCATTTTCATAAGACTGCATATTCAATTATTAACCTACTGAATTGAATTAAAAAAAAAAAAAAAACCACCAGCCACGCAGCCACCTATCTACCCACAACACATAATAACATGTCTTTGTACCACAATCGCTTTATTGTTATTAAAATGTTTGTTAATAAATTATTTTCGGTACTTTATATACCTATGACAATAATTATTGTTGAAATTGACGTAATGTAATCGTATACGTTGCACGTTAAAGTGAACAAAGTGTTTCGCGTCTATTGTATTGCTAGTGGTATAATAATATAATAGGCTAAAACAGTTTCGCTAGGATGCATGTGTAACGACACCCATCAATTACACGCGGAAAGGTTTTATATACCTACCTGTGTATTATATTTTATCCTAAGCTCTCCCCGTAAGAATAACAATAACTTTATAACAAGTATTAAGGTACCTATGCACGATCGCGTATCATATTTCTCATTGGTAGCCGGTATATATACATATATATATGTAAAAAAAAAAGCTTGTTGTTTTACAGTTTACAGGAAGTTGCATGTATAGTATGACACCGTCCCACTCAACACAGAAAAAGATGCATGCTCTACAGTCTACGCACTGCAATGTATTTGCAACATCAAAAAATAATAATATTATGGTTTCGAATTCGAAGGCGCGAACATTTTTTTTTTTAAGCGGAGAGCATAATATAGATACTAAAATTTCTAAAATATTTAGAAATCCTAAAATAATTTCATTAGACAGTTTTATTGATAAGAATAATGTTATCAATAATACTAAATACTAAATTATACTATTTGTTCATATATTCAATTAAATACGAATTGAAACTTGCAAATATATTCGATAAAAAAAATATCCTGGAGTTTAACATTTAAATATATTTGATTTTTTCATGTCGGACCGATTTAATTAACCAAATTGTATATTCAGTGAAAATTCAAAGAATCAGGTAGAATACATAGAAATATTTTTTTTATAATTTTTTCTTATAAGTTATTTCAACACTACTATAGGTCAAATTACTCGCAATGAATGTGAAAAGATATTATAATATTGTAATTATAACATTAAACTAACAATATTTTGATTAGTTAATTTTTAATTGTGCATGGAAGTTTTATACGTGTATTACTCGATGACTTAAGTAAATAAATGTATTCATGCCCTCAAGTGGTTTTATATGATGAATTCCGACGTCCAAGAAGAAAAAAAAACGGTGTGCTGGCTATTCAATATGTTCAGTCGCCACTGTAGACTAGCAGCTGTATCGAAGTAAAAATTTAAAAACGAAACTCGTTATTTTCTCTACAATTATCATTATTATTATTTTAACGATTAAGTCCGTTTAAATACATATTGTTCTTTGTTTGCGTAAAAACAACAGAACAGATCTTTTCCTTTCTATGAAATTATATAAAATATTTCAATAACATTTTGTCAAGGACCTAGACCACAATAAGAGACATGAATAACAAAATAATCATTTCTAATATGATCAGCTTGTTTGTAGTTCTATTTTAACTGTGTATCTATTTTTAATGAATACTTCACATTCTTTATCCTTGGACCGTTAACGATTTTTTAGGCACTTAATAAATTAAAAAAAAAAAAAAACAAAACAAAAATATCAATATCATAAGGATACAAATCTCGTTAGCATTTGATTTGCATTTCCTATTACACATATGTTAATTTAATTTCTACTTTTATGTAAACTGTATACTGCCGATTCTATAATATACTGTATTAAATTTAATAAAATATAGGTATTCACGATTATAAACTATGCAGTTAATATATAATTTGGCGTTGTAATAACGAGTGTTAACCAATTTAATATTTAGACTAATATTTAAAGATATATAATGTACACATTGGTTAAGAAGGTATATTATTATTTTATAAAGAAAGTAAAGTTGAATATAATTTTTATGGACGAGAGAAAGCTGAATAATTCGGTAAATGATTTTTTTCTGTCTTAATTTATCACTACGACGGCTATATGATTAAAAGATTTCAATGCAATACAACTAAATAACAATATTATATGAATAATTTATAATATTTTTGAAGAAACAAAATGTAGAGCTATTATAGGTACCTATTATACGAGCCATTCGATTTTGAAATATCTGGACGATCTTAGAATTTAATGTGTAGATTAGAACTTAGACCTAGGTACTAAAAGATTCATAGTGAATTAGATTCAACCAAACGAAATGCTAATACACTATTTGGCATGCAGATGTACAAGTAGTTACCTATTCCTTATATGTATTTATTAACTATTAGAACACGCGAGCGTGTGTGTGTGATATCATTAGTAAAAATTCGAAATTAGTAAATCACCTATAAAGCAAATATTATTAAGACAAAATTATTTTTATTGTAACTATTATTTTAATATTTTGTTTCATTTACTGGAATTACAGAAGCAGTTTGTGACTGCTGTTTTCCATAAGATAAATCGTCAGCTAAAAGACAAAAGAGGTTCTATATATATATGTTTTTATTTTCATATTTTAAGTACTTTATTATTTTGTTTTGACGGGAGGAGGTTTTTTAACCTTCACTTATTAAGTCGACATCAAGAACCGTTTGTTTCTATCTATATACCTGTAGAAATATAGTGTGTTATTTCGTTCTTCTAAAATAATGTAACACGCTATGATAAACTTTCTGGTTTTAAACCGACGAAATATTAGACCAGGAGTGTAAAATTACATAAAAATGTACCTTATATATGGCTATGTTAATAAATATAAATCCTTTATATATCCTTAATACTATCTTAGTATTATATTGATTACGTACATTATATTTAAAAAGATTTAAAAGTAATAATTATATTAATATAATTATATAATAATATTACCTGAAGGATCGTTGTTGAGCTTGTGACCGGTCCTAGGGATAACCGTTTGATTTTGGGTGGGAAAAAAACACGCGAACAATGTTAAAGTTAAAATTGTTATCTTAATACTTATCGATTTATCCGTCCGAGAATTCATTTTTTTATTTTTGCTAACTACTATAAATTATGGTACAGACTAGAAATAAATTATAAGCCGGAAAAAACAATTAGTTTAAAATCACAACACACCAGACTGTAGATGCTGTACAAATTATAAATAGATTTGGATAATATACGTCCTATGCGGATAGTTCATCCATTTCGCGCACGATTATTGTTCGTACTGCGGCCGAGAATCGTGTTTGAGGACTTTAGAAGGAGAAATTTGTACTCCTCGACTACTATAGGTACAACTGACAAGCAGTGGGCAACGCGATGCTGTAAATAAGACCACTTTCGATCTCTGCACAGTGTATATACGACGAAATGTATATACATAAGAGGTTGTGTATTATATGTTAAAATATAATATAAGAAACCGGTATATACTATGGAGTGGAGCTGCTGTTGTTACCTTCTGCGCGAATATTGTACTTAACTAACTACCTACCTACCACACTATAGGTAAAATCAAAGCGAGCGGGTGTAGCAAAGTGGATAAAAATTTTAAAAAAACTGTCCAACACTCATCATTACGCGTACAAAGGAAATATCAGCTACGTAGGTACGCGTAGGTATATACAGGGTCTTCCGCAGATATGAAAAATACAGTAATTTCTGTTATGTTCAATATTTTTAAGTTATTCTTGTTTATCATCATTACTTAAGCGTTGTTGCTATGATTATTATATTGTATAGTTTTTTTTTATTAATAAAAATAAACAATATTTTTAACGTATTAATCCATGATAGTAATTTTATGAATGATATTATTAAACGAAATATTGGTGTTTTAAATGTTTACTAATGATGAGCCGTTTAAGTTTTTAAATATTCTTGATGTTAACAAAGTTATTTTTTTACACAAGAATTATTGAATCGGTTAGTATTATTAGAATGAAAACCATTTAAATTATCGTAAAATTGTGGAAATTTAATAAAAATATAACACAAAAATTGTATTTAAAAAATCTCTATAAACTATAAAATAGCTAAGTATCTTAAATTTTGCAAAAAAGTGTAAAAAAAATATAATTTTATAGTTTCAATTTCTAAATAAATAATGTGTAAAATATGATCATAGAGTAATATTTACTGAAGTAAATATATATTTCAAAAAATATTGAACAGAACAACAGAAATCGTATTTAACAGATCTCTGTGGGACACCTATATAATGTACCTATAATATTTTATTTAGTGGTACCTTTTTTTTATTTTTTTATATTAATATTATATGCACGAGCAAATTATACTCCACGACGTGCAGACACTTTTAATTTGCATACCTATAATAAAGTCAATTTTATAATTATGTAGTATTATTACAAAATGTCAAAACGAATCGCATCCACAGAGCAATTTATAACTGTATGATTAAAATTATTAACTACTTAGGTATAGGTCAATTCGATTGTTTTAATATATTAATTGAATTATTTATTAAAATAATAATATAGTTAATACATAAATACGTACCCGCATATATAAGTATATGCCCGCCTACTAACTATATATTATTATGTAGGTACCTAATACCTATGCGATTGTAACCTTTGTATCGTGAATTACACCCGGTATACTATAGTTATATTATAGGTACATCATTAAAATAATATTCGCATTCAAGAAAATGTTATTGATGATATTTTTTTAATTTTAGATTCCAAGATGAGTGTGAGGTCACACAATTTATTAGTTTTAAATTTTTACCGAGAAAGATTATGCTCACCTAATTGTCTTATTTCTTATTATCTACCCTGTAATCAGAAGACTGCGATAAAAATATTACCTACACAGACAATTATTATTTGCATCAAACGTGAATTTATCATTATGGGTTATACTGTTATAGCAAATCGTTGGCGGACATAAAACTATAAATATGTATAAATCATAAAAACAAATTATGTAGTATTATGTATTTTTTAGGCCAAGGGGGAAGGGTTGAACTCCTAAACCCCCTTCCCTTGCTTCGCCAATGCTCACCACGGTCTTAAAATTACTGATAACACGTATCATTCGGTTGCTGGTAACGATCATTAAACATATCATAGATAGTTTTACCACAGATTAGATTAAATCATATAATCATTGGTTTTACTATATACCTAGCATACATAGACTACGGTTATAGATATTCTATCTAACCTACCTAACATTCGTATTATACATTTTAATGTCCACTATGAATCTAATTATTTGAACTAATTTCAATTAATCAATCAATCCAGCACGATGTAGCACGATGTGATCATAAGTTTTATTAAAATATCTGAATATAGCTATTACCAATATACGATTAAAGCATACTTGTGCCATCAGGCGCTCAAATGTAACGTTATTCAATGCTTTTGCTTTGTAGATCATCACTCCTTTAATTTCTGTGGCAACTCAATTCACAACGGCGATATGACACTATTATTTTCTTATTAAAACAGTCCCCTAGCTTTAGTCCCCTACCTTCGCACACGTAATTACAAATATTAATATTTATAATTAATGCAATTCCAAAATAACTTATATTAATAATAATAGGTACTTGGCATGAATTGGTATTAATATCTGTATATACAACAATATAACAGACTTGCCACTGAATTTATTAAATCCTTGTCATTGAATTTTAATTTTGTTTTCATATTTGATATTTCTGATTGTTCAATATTTACTAGTTAAGTACTACTCATGTATTTAATAAGCCGGAAATTGGAAGTATGGGTAATAGTTTAAATAATAGATTAATATTTAATTAATAGTATTAGCATTGTTAATTCTGGACAATGGTGGGTTTTCATCGTCCGACTTTCATCATTCAACCGATTTCCATCGTCGAATATCAATGACTGCTGTAAAATAATCGATATCAAGTGTAAGTAAACCGGAACAAAATGTATCGGTACAGCAGTTTGTATTAATGAATTTCTTGTGTGCACCGCAGATTATTTGGTCGAAGTATTTAAATTCTCTTAGGAATTAATCTTTGAAATTTCAATATCAGCATTGTTTATTATCGTAATCCATTTTAATATAACAATAATATTGTCGTACCTGTACGCTGTCCAACTTAAGAGTATACCCGTTTGCGCATACGTGACTGAGCGCTGAACGTTGCCGGACCCCTTACTTGCCGTCGACGTCTTCTATCTCGGCGTAAACGCCCCTGGCGGAATTTCTCTGTAGAACGGCCGATGGCAATTCCTAACCGGCCACTGAAGCCGCCGCCGTGAACGCGTGTTGCTGACCGACCTACTGGACGCTACCAGTGTTCAGACGCTTTTGCAGGTACTGCGCCAGTATCTGTTGCGTGATCCATCACCAGGTCGGCACCTACACAAACATACAAGATATACCGTCATCACGAGCCATAGGGTCCGTCCGAGCATGAAATTTATTACGTATTATCAGTGGCGTGTCCAGGGGGGGGAGGTTAGGGGTTATATGCCCCCATTGGCTTATAAATACAACAAAATATGAGTAATCTAACAACGAAACTCATAAATTTCGGCCGATTTTCGAGTAAAAGCTTGATGTATTGATCAGAAATTGGCTTTTTTTTAGGATCCGGCTTTTAAATTAACAATTCCCATAGTCCCGTACTGGGTAGAGAAGACGATTTTACTTTTTTTTCACGATTTTTATTTGTTATATCCTTTCCCATTGGAAATTCCTGAGTACGCCACTGCGTATTATAGGTGGTGTACGGTTTTGTCGCGAGTTCCATCGAAAACCGTTAAAAAAATAAATAAAATATAATACAGTATAAACGTGATAACAAAATAATATACGAGCATATTATGTATATTATACATGCACAGTGGCGCAACCCGGATTTATTTTCGGAGGAGATTTTATGAATATGAAAAAAAAAAAATCGATTTTGGATGGTATTTGTTGGGGTGAAGGGGGGGTTAAGGTTAAATTAGGTTTATGAGTAAAATTTTTAAATTGTTTAACTTTCATTTATAGACAATGCATATTGGAAACCAATATGGTAGTGGGTGAATTTTACCCCAACTTATTAGTTTAAAACATCATATTTTTCCGTCAAACCGGTAATATACCTCTTCGGCTCTACATTTCAAATTGAAATCGGACAGCAGATAAGTGGAAAAATGTTATCGTTAAAATGGTCATTATAAAAGGTAAAAAATAATTGTAATTTTTTCCATTTAAAATATTGTTATTTTAATGGTTACGTTTAACGATGATATTTTTTCTATAATATTATATAACGGTACAACTTGAACGTACACTTAACAAGCCGATGATTAATCAGAACTTCAGGTGCCTCAAAAATTATGAATACAAAACATATGATTAACCTTTATATTATTATGGACGATTCGATCCCAGTTTGCTTTTACGCTTATATCACTGCCAATAACACAAACACAGTATCTACCCAACATAAAACACACAATGGTATTTTCGTTTGAACCATTATAGCAAATTATTAATTTCGAAAATACATCTTACGTGAAGTCTTAAACAAGAAATGTTTTTTTTTTCTTTAAATATATTCTCACAACTTATTATGACAGTACGACTCCTATGTATAGGCCATTTTCATATTCGTTTTTAAATCATAATATATTATTTAACTTTCAAATATTAACAATATATGGTACCCAATTAAAATATTTAAAGATGATCATAAAATATTTTTGTAAAGTCGTTTGTGTTGTGTAATATAATATTTAACACTCATTGAGTAGTGTAGGTAATAAATCAAGTACGTCTATAGTAATACAATATTTTATAATATTCGTATTTAAGTTCTCATATTATTATATTTTCTGGTCTCTGGCGAACCTCGGCGTCAGCGAGTTACTGAGATATTATTAATCACTATTGAAAACTATAGAAATTTCCTATTTAACACTTTAAGTATAATTTTTGTATTATTATTATTATACATTGTGTACTATATTGCATATTTCGGATTCTTCGCATGGTAAGAAATTAATTTCTACCATGGTGACAATATAGCGCCGG